CTCCTGTATTCATTCCCTATGGAAATGTTAAATCGCATTTGCTTCTGCTGAATTCCGAGCGGATCAGTCTCAAATTTGTGTTAGCAGGTCTGAATAAATATGATGTACAGTACTCGAAATATGTGCGCATCATGGTTCTACGATGCACAGTATATATAATTTGCGTAGGTGAAAACTTATTCAAGAGAATTCAATTGCAAAATTTTTCAAGCTTTTTCATGAATTTACTCAATTAAAAGAATTCTCTGGATGTTGTCCATTGAAATAATGCCTGCAATTTTTCCAACCAATTGATGTTTTGCCCCACTTTGTTTTTCAAATCCTAGGTTGTCACATACACTTAAACTATACTTATTTGGCAAGGAGAAGGGAGTGTGGTAGGTAGGAAAAAACGGAACATTCAATTTAGTTGTGCCCATTTCAATAAAGTTCCCATGAATTGAAATACCATGTTGAAGTTGTGTGCTGCACCAGCAGCATAATGGGCGAATAAATGAGACAGCAACAGCAGAAGCAGCAGAGTAAATGAAGGAGAAGGAAATAAAACCACTGCACACTTTTGTCAGTTTGGAAAATGCAAAACTTTTATTTGATCATAGATTAGTTCATGAGTTGGAAATGCGAGAGAATAAATGGCGAAATACTGAATTAAAATCAAGAGCTAATTCAATTTCTTAGTTTTAAAAATGTGCTCCTAGCAAGTTGGTCATATGTTGAAATACAGAGAGAAAAAAAACATGTGGCTAGTATTCAACTATGTATTTAAAAACTTGCAAAATTTATTCGAGTAAAAGTCAATTTTCCCTTTCCCACCAAACTATTTTGAAGCGACGAACGAGAGGAAAAATTGGCATCTTTCTACTGCCGGGATTCGAACCACGGACCTTCTGATGGTTCTGATTTGTAAAATCAATAAGTAGTTCCCTTTACAAAATAATAGTAATATTATTTGTTGTCTGGAAATTTGCCTGAGCTTGTCATGTAAAAGGTCTGGATTTTCCGCTTGTGACCAAAGCGCATATATATCTTGTACAATTAACAGAAATCATTTCCGTTTTTTCTCATATATCCATTAATCCAGTTTTGGTGCAAGTGAAAAAAAGCTGTTATTCATTTAAATTTCAAATCCTTAGTAATACTAGCGGTTTTCTATTCAAACAAAAAAAAAATACAATGGCGAAAGAAGAAGACAAAAAAATCAGTGTTGATCGTTTAACTCCTGTTTTAAGCGATGATTTAGAAAGCTCATGCCATTTTTCAACTCAAGTAAATCTCATAAATCGCAAAATTTCACAAAAAAGACCAAAACATAGAGAGAAAGAGGGAGAGAGAGACACACACACACACGAGCCGACTGTTAAATTTGTGGCGATAGCGTTGAATTGGTATGGCGCTTTTAATTGTAATTTATTTTCAATAAATAATCAAGTTTGGTCTGAGCTGACAGTTATATGAACGCTATTCATTGGTCTCATCGGTTTGCGTTGACACCTCGGATTCCACTTGATTTGTGATTGAACACATCTATGCGCCAATATTTTATACGACGCTATAGTCGGGGACATTTGGCGCGTGAATTCAAATGGTGGTAATATAATATCTAAAAATGTAGGCATCCGGCATCACATACAGAGAGGTATAATATAGATGGAGAGATGAGCAAGAGAAAGAGATAGAGAAACATTTTGATGCATTCACTGAGCGTTGACCGCATGCAAAATACCCCCGAAACCGTTGCCAAAAGATTATGCATTTTATATATTCATTAATAATGCTCATTTCGAATGTGCAGCGTAAAAATGGGAAGAAACATTAGCGTAATTCAGATGGATGTGTCTTAGCGTGCGCATTCATTCTGCATACTGCTTGAATGGCACATGCACACAAAATGGGACACAAAGCATTACATATCAAACCGTATACCAACCGGTACAATGATCAATCTCGATTCACGGCTCAAACAAACGGCCGTGTCAAAGTGGCGGTAACGGCACACTACACCCGTAAAATGCAACGCACAAATCACACCAATTCAATGATGGCGAAAGCCATCTAACGAACTGCACTGATTCAAAATGACAATGTCGATAAAAGGAGTATCATCGGTATAATCGGTCTCGGCGATAAGTATTTTGTGGAAAAATAAATTTGCATTTTTGTGCATTTTCAATTTTTTCGAGTTGGCTTTTTTCAACGCATCATTCTCCCTAGTCTGACACATTTCTTCTCTTTTATTTTGTTTTCACCGCCCGCTTTTGCCAATGTATGTGTAATGTCTGTGCATCGAGCATCAGCAGCATCAGCAGCATCAGCAGCAGCAGCAGCAGCAGCAGTAGTAATAGTATGAAAAAAAATTCCCGAACAGATTACTGACAGCTGCATATACTATGAACTATGAGGAATAACAATGGTGGAAAAAATGGCTTGCAAAAAGAAACGACCCATGTGCGTATATGTAAAAATCAGTATAATCGAACAACTCGCAGTCGGCGAAAACGGGAGATTTGCGTGCAAAAAACACAGAGAGAGAGAGAGAGAGAGAGAGAGAGAGAGAGAGATTCGAAAACATTCACAGTACCATAAATACGAAGGCAGCCTCTCTGAACTGAGTGGTGTGTTGCAGCCAAATAATGCCAACGAGTATGAATACGAAAACAACAACAATACATACATCAAGAGAGCGGCGGGAGAGAGAAAGAGAGAAAAAATCAAACAAAGCATGAAATAAATAAAATAATCTCGACGGATGGCAAATGATCGCAATAATTTTTCAAAGTGCACTAAAAATAAACGACAAGCAGCTTAACAGTAGCATTCACGGCGTACAAATAATACATATACGGAGATAGACGGCGTACGACGACGACGTTGGCGGCGGCGGCGGCCGTGTCATAGACACAAAATATATATAGACGAAAACGACTATTGCACGACAGCGCTTTTTAAACCATATCTTTCGGTTGCTTGTGGCCCACACTCGTTCGCTATTCCTCATTCGTTTGCTCTCACTTCGTGTGTATCTTGTGCCATTTGGTTGGTCGGTTGGTTGGTTGTTTGGCTATGTTTGATGCGCTCAATCCCTGTTGTTGCTCATTTTTCGGTGGTGTTCAGTTCGGTGTGACGCTCAATGCACCAAAAATGCATTTTACACAAAACATGTATTTCACAAACACACACGCTCGGGATCTCGCGAAAAGCATTTTTTTTTCAGCTGTATCTCTCTCGCTCCTTCACACTGGTGTGCATGTATGGATTTGATGCGCGTATGGAAAAAAAGCGCCGAATGAGGAAGAGAGAGCACAACATGAAAATAAAACACAAATGGAAATAAAATAAAAAGTTCGATGCAAAGAAACAAAGCAACAACAGCAAAATTGAAGTCCAATATATAATGCGCTCCGTACACATTACTATCTGTCCCTCTGTGTATGAGTATGTGTGTGTGTGCTTGGGTTATTTGGGGATTTTTTCGTTAGCAAGTAAATTGTTGTTGTTGCTGCTGCTGCTGCTTCTGCTGTTGCCTTGCCTCACTCTATTTCGCGCGCACTTCTGTTGTTCCATTCCATTCGATGGTGCATTTTTGTCATCGAATGCACATCATTTGCAGAGAGCGCGCTCTTGCCGTTTTTTTTTGTCTGTTACTGCTCATGTTGTGTTGCCGTTATCCCATTTCGATGGGTAACAAATCACATTTATGCGCTTTTGTCTTTTCCGAAAAGCATGTGCTTTCAATACTTTCACTTAGCGGCATGCAAGATGCGCTGTCTTCATCTATTTGTTTTCTGGTTGTGTGCTGGTGCTTTTTTTCGTGTCGCGTTTCAATTTATTCTTCTCTTATTTTTGGCTTAACCGGTTTAATTCACAATTTTACATTTGCATTTCGTCGTCCGTTTGCCCATTCGGCCGAGTGCTCCTGGTATTGGCGTATTGTTTTGTTTAGCTGATTCGAAATGGCCATCCTCAATCCGATGGCGACTATCCAAATACCGAGTAAGAGAGGAATGGGGAGAGAGAGAAAATGGCCATCCCATTGAATCGAGATCAAGGCGTACGAACGATATAAACGATGCCATCGATTGTATTGAAAAACACTTTGAATGAAATCGCCATTTTTTTGTGTGTGTTTTTTTTGTTATTGTTTCATAGAGATAAATTCACACTTCCCGATTAAAGCTAAAATCGCATTCACACTTAGTTTACGTGCACGCTTGTGTGTGTGCGCGCGCATGCGAACGCGCTCAAACACCCGATTCAAATTGGAAAAACGAGATTTTCGAAACCATGTTCACACTTGCATCGATTGAGTTAATTCGTAGTCAATTAAAACGTGTAGCGTGGAAGAAATTTTATGAAGTGGACAAAATTGTGTGCACAGTATCACCGGTAGCAGTCCGAAAGTGAATTCATGTGCGCCCCATTTCGAACGATATGATAGAAACACGATAGCAGACAATCAAAACGCATTATGAAACGTAGTAAAACTTTAAATGGAGTTGGGGAAGAAGCAGAGGGAAAACGACCAACAACAATAACAACGAGGGAGAGAGAGGGAGAGAGAGAGAGAGAGAGAGAGAGAAAGAGAGCGGGAGCGGGAGGGAACGAGAAAGCAAAAAAAATGATGAAAACACAAGCACAATGTCATAAAAGCAGCAATAACTAACCGTTCAAAGCGCATTTTTCATGTCTGTGTCGTTCCGTTCATAAAATCCGTTCCGTGTCTTCTTCCCCATCCCTTCCACGCTTGTCACTTGAAATTTGGGGCACATTTTCTATCTTCTTTTTTAATTAAAATCTTTTATGACACATCAAATGTCAGATACGCAACGACTGCATTTCAAGATTTATTGTGAGCATCTTAATATTTTTCCAATTTATCACGACATTGTCTCTTCTTGCTTGTGTGTGCTTGCGTGCGCTTTAAAAATCAAAACACCTCTCTGGCGACTTGCTGCCATCATCAAATCATGGGATTTTATTACGAGAAAAAAAGCAACAACATATTTTATGCTGAAATCATGTGAATTTTCTTTTTAATTTGTTTCAATTTGCTTTTGTATTAGCTTTGATACAAATCACATACAAATTAGAGTGGCATAATTTTGTAATTGGTTATCGTTCCATAGCCTCAACTTGTTCCTTGAGAAATTCGATTTTCCGCGAATTTTCAATGATTGAATCGCATTGATAGCCCATGTGTTGACGCAACAGTTCCATTTTCTTGAGATTTTGATAGGTATTCTCCATGGTGGTTTCTTGTTGAGCAAAATTTCTGGCCGCTTGCATTAGGATCTGTGTGGAAAAATAAAATTGTGAACCAAAAAAGAACAACAATATTCATTGTGTACATACATCATTGGATCGTGACCCACGAACAATTTGACGTCCAGTTGAAGCGACATTATTCACGGTGCCGGCAACTCGATCGGCCAAACGACGTTTCGAATCGTGAAAAAGATTCTTTGCACTGCTGCTGGATGCGGATGCCATTGTTTACTCTTTTCGTTGTGTTTCACTACTCAAACTCCAAATAGCCACGGCACGTTTTTATTTCGGCTAATACTTGTTATTGCGAATCGATATTACCAAACATTGTCTCCGATTTTGAACTTTCTATGGAATCATACGAGCACAACAATCACTTCAACTTTTTCAATCCATCGTTTCAAGAGCCAAAATGATTTGGTGATTCCACAACTTTTGGTTCAGAATGTAGTAAAATCACAATATTTACACCAAATATTTGACTGTCAAACAAAGGCACTTGTTAGCAGAAAGGAAAAGATACTTGTGGCGCCATCTTTTGCTAATTTTTCATCAATTTCAGCAGGGTTTTGCCCATTCAAAAAATACCAGAAAAGAATCAAATATGTACCTGTGATTTAAATTCATCTGAAATAAAAAAAACAATTGAAAATCGGTTAGAGACAGAAAAGAATCATCCAATTTAATTTCCATGATTCGTTTGTTTATTGATTTTGTTATAATATTTATGTGATGCGCGATCGTGACGCAATTGTTTCACCTTTTTTTTTGTAAATTTAATTCGAAGCTGTGGTGTGTCTGTGTATGTGTGATTTTTCGTATCGTTAACAGATAGAAATGATTAAACTTGTTTTTGAAATATTCTAAACAAACACTTCTTAAATCTAACTAGAAACAGACAGGTTGACAATAGCTCTCTACGTTTCTAAAAAGACTATCCGTTTACATGATTTGCTTCTTCTTTTTTTTTTCATTCGACAATTTTAATTATTATCAATTGAATAACTGTTGTTGTTGTTGTTGCTCTTTTTTCCCTCAAATATTTAATTTACAATTTAAATGGTTTTTTTCTTCTTTCTTATTCTTTTATTTTGAGAAAAAAAAAATCACAAAACATTTTCATTAGAAACATATTACAATTTAGCGTTATAGTTTCTTAAATTTCAACTTGAATTATCTGTGGATAATTTGTTCCTGTATATATACAAAACTCAGTGCATCTTGATTGTTAATAAATAAAATTTTAAATTGGTATCCTATTTTTTTTTTAAATGATGTTAGGACTTCAGAAAAAAATACAGACGGAAAAACAAATGACGCAATCAACTTATTTTTCTCTCTTTGCAAGTGTGAAAACGAATGAATCCATCATGTATGTTTATCATAAGTTTTTTGGGTGAGTGAGCTTAATGATCTAATGGGACATTCATGTGTAAACATCATTCAATACTTTGAATTTAATGCTTATAATGCTTAACACAAACGCATCTTCATTTTAAAACACGTGCTTTATGCCGTATCGGATGGCAAAAATCAATCCTGGGGTGGAATTCTAAGTCATTCCACCAAAATCGTTCGGAATTATTTTTTTTCGTACATAAGACCATATTGGAGTGAAAGAGAGAGATTCCACTATTTTTCAGCATTCCACCGGAATTATTCCGATAACTCAAGGAAGAGTGGAATGTGTGAGAAATAATTCCGGTGGAACGCTGAAAAATAGTGGAATCTCTCTCTTTCACTCCAATATGGTCTTATGTACGAAAAAAAATAATTCCGAATGATTTTGGTGGAATGACTTAGAATTCCAGCCCTGCTCCAATCTAAACGACGATCGTAGAATATTTTAAATGTTAATACATCTACTTATTATTTACATAACTTCGTTCGTGAGCTTTCATGAGATGACCATACGATGGTTACTGTTCCGATTCGGCCATTGCATTCCATGCTCCCCAAAAACACACAGTTTGAGAAGAAGATGAAAAATCATGTCGAAACAAAACTGCAACAAGTGAAATGATGAAAGAGGCAAGAATGAAGCTCACGTACCGCGCCTACCCGCTGCCACCCGGTAAATATACATTACATATAATACAAATTTAGCGGATGATCACCCGGAGGAGAATCTACTGTATAAACAGAGTACACATAGTACGTAGCGCAAGGTGTGTATGGTACACAAAGAGCGCGCACACATTTAGAGGCTCTGTATACGCTTATGCTTGTGTGCGCGCATCGCTAGCTGTTGTTTGTGTGAATGTGAATGCGCGCACACAAGCATAAGCGTATACAGAGCCTCTAAATGTGTGCGCGCTCTTTGTGTACCATACACACTTAGCGCTACGTACTATGTGTACTCTGTTTATACAGTAGATTCTCCTCCGGGTGATCATTCGCTAAATTTGTATTATATGTAATGTATATTTACCGGGTGGCAGCGGGTAGGCGCAGTACATGAGAGGGTATACATTTGGTATTGCCTATTAGACATCACAATTGAACATTCTTTTTCTATCGCGGGTGAAATGGATGTGTATCTTTGTGTGTGACAAAATTATGGCTGTTGGGAAAAATGGAATGCGTTCGTTTAATTGCGATCAAATCTCTAGCCTCATCAATGCCCACGTCAATGCAACTTTTCGTCCCATCAACTTTGATTCGGAAATACTGTGCATCGATTGACGCTACACAACACTTCACCAGGGTTTCTTATTTATTCAGCATAATTTCATTGACGGCTCTCCAATTGTTGTGTACTGAATCGCATACGGCCGATGGAGTGTTGTTTACACTTGTGTGTGATACATTGAAACGACTAATCAATGCAGCGGATGAGTTGTTTTGGTCTGAATAATTTAACAATTGTATGTCGTATGGATGATGTGTATTACCCAGATGATTCATTGATGGTGTCTGAAGCGGTGGTGGTGGCGGCGGCGGCGGTGGTGGTTGTTGTTGTGGCGGCGGTAGTGGCGGTAGTGGTGGTAGTGGTGGTATAATCATGCATTCATTTGGCATCATGTTCATCGGTTGACCGTTGAGTGTGGCCGGATCGGGATCATACATAATATAGTCGTCAGCTCGTGATTGATCCAAATGGTAATAGGTCGGTGTGTGATGATGATGATAATGATGATGATGATAATGATTTGATGGTGCTACCACTGGCGGTGACATTTCCACTATTGCATTTGAGATCGGGTTCTGTGTTGATGTCATCATCATTGTGTTAACACCAACCACATCTTGACTAAATGGATATGTTGCAATATCCGATTCGAAGCTGTTTTCCGATGGCGTTACCGGGGATGGTTCGCTGTTCGGATCATGAATCTGAATTTGTAACCCAATGGTGGTGCATTTGGGTGATGAAACGGGCACGTTAGATTTCAGTTCGTCTTTCTTCTTTTTACGTGGCTTTTTTGGTTCACGTGGCGCTTTCGATTTGACGGTTGTTGTCGATGGTGGTGGTGATTTTTTCTCGAGTGTCGATGGTATGGTTGCAACACCCTTTGTCCCCGTCCCCTGTTGCAAATGCCTCATGAATGCGCCCATAAACGTATCCGATGATTTTGATGATACTTTTGATGGACGCATCGCAGCACTGAACGGCAACGATAGATTTTCTTCGGCTTGTCTATTTTCAATCTCAGTCCAATCTAATAAATTGCCGAATCGCCAGAACACAGGCGCCAATCAAAACAGAAAAATCGAAAAGAAGAAGAAAACACCAAAAAAGAAAAATGACGAAAAGAAAAGAAAAAAACGAAAATAAAAAATTAGAAATGGACAATGATAACGAGATGCATTTTTTGTTTGTTTGTTTTTCTTAGCTAAGAAATTTGACTTTTTTCATACTTGTTCTTGACGGTTTGGCTGACGCTCCATTGATCGGAGGCTTTTTGATGATTGATTTCGAATCGAACATGGTTTGATCCAATTTGCCTGTCGCTGACGGTGTTTCCTTAATTTTTGCCGTCTTCGTTGTACTAGACCTCCGTCGTGGCTTCTTCTTTGGTTCCATCACATTATTCAATTCACCTTCGAATTTCACATGTTCCACTTTGACCGGCATATTTATCGCAGTAAACGTTTCGGGTGCCTTAAATGGATCGTCATTTTCAATGTGCTCAGTCTTTACGGCAATTTCGGATTCGGTTGATTCGGGTATTGAAACATCCGTTCCTTGCACCACCGATTCAATGCATGCCATTATCGCACTTATCGATGTAAATTGGCGTCGACTCGTCTTTTTCACAATACCATTCACTGATTTATCCATACTATCACGTTTTTTCGGCGTTTTCTTTTGTTTATGCTCCGATTTTCGCATCGAATCATATCCACTTGAATCGATCATCGATAGTCCATTTGTCAATTCGTGACTACTATTTAAATGTTCATAACCACTGAAACTGGTATTTGTACTGTTCACGATACTATTCACGGTACTGCTATTTAACGCACTGCTATCAACCGTACTCTCTAGTGCACTACTACCATTCAATGTACTATCGATTGAATGATTTGTCGTATCGTTCGATTTGCGCGATCGTTTCTTTTTGATTTTTTCTTTGTCGCCGTTCGTTTGTTTGGCATTTTCCCCATTTTCGGATCGATGTTTTTTCGAGCGTTTTTTCTTTCGTTTTGATCGTTTCGGTTTGCCACCTTTGCGACGACCCGTCAACCAATCTTCGTCATTCTCATCGACACGTCGTCGTCGACTCTTTTTGCCATCATCCTCTGACATATCCATTATGTAATCATCGTCGAATGTTTCGAGGCCCTCAATCGGTGGCAATTCCTCTTCTACCGTTTCACCCTCTTCAGTGACATCATCTTCGTCTAATGTTAGCGTCAATGCGCCGGTGATAGCCGCCTTCACATCTTCTGGAACATTTGGATTATTTTGAATTTCATCCATATCAACATCGGGATTTCGCTCCTTGAACGATTTCTTCAGTAACGGATTGCATTGCTTCTTTAACGTTTGCAATACGTTTTGTGGCACATTCGAATTACTGCAAACAAATCGAGAGAAAGAGAGAGAGAGAGAGAGAGAGAGAGAGAGAGAGAGAGAGAGAGAAAGGGAGAGAAAGAAAAAAATGATTATCATTTAAATGTCATCCCATTTGACTCGGCCGTAATGCAATGGATCACACTCACTTTTTGTTGACTAAAATATCTAGATCACTTGGCAATGGAGCCGGCCTAGCTGCTGACGGTGGATCCTCTGGATGTGGTCCAATGTCAGAGCCATTGATCCATGCATCGTATTTGTCGGGCTGGAAACGTTTGACGAACGTGTCCATTGAAATTTTCACCATGTCCGAACTTTTGGGAAAAAAGAGCAGAAAGATTTCAGTTAGCAATGGAATACAAAACGACTCACTCCAAAATATCATATCTACCTGCAATAGCATTGTTGCGCTCGTTTTCCGTATTCAACCCATCGTGGCATGGCAAAATTGGTTGACTCGGCACAATTGAAACCGTGATTGAATCCAGCATGGTAACCAAATGGAAATGTGATCATAATTTCCTTCTCTTCTTGTGTAATCTGTTGAAAAAGCCAATACTCAATTAATTTCATGTGAGCAATAATTGATTTGAAATTTTTATCAAAGGATATCTACCTTATTGAATGGAATATTGTGTTGCTTGAGTATTTGTGGGCTGATCAGTGTCATTTTATGACGCAAATATGCGCCGCAACTGCGATAACTGGCCGGAAAGTATTTGTTTGCCATTTTTTCAAGTTGACGCCCGTACTGCGGTGGAACTGCATACCATGTCTTTGGTTTGCCAAAATGCAGGTAATTTATGCTATATAAATCCATGTCTTCGGTATGCCATGCGAATGTCGTTTTCCACATACCAAAGTAGAGATAGGCCGTATTCACACCATCGATTTGTATCCCATAATCTTGATTAACATAATCAAGAATCGTTCCCAATCGATTGATGTTCCATTCGTTGCAATCTTCATCCGTTAAACTGCCACTGACGTCAGCTCCATAAATTGGTGCAACATATGTGATATTCTTCCAATATTTACGCTCCAAGTCTTCATAATCGAAATGCTTTGGAGTTTGATATCTATCCGTATTTGCAAGGTCTCTGAATTGTTGAATTGTTAACGATTTCTTTTGAATATTGATTTGCTGGTACAGTCCCTGTTTGCCGGTAACAACTTGACAAATTGGTGCCGGAATTGATATCGACATATTATCGATGTCGTATCCATTCTTGCGTGGCTTCCACTCGGGCGGAGGAATCACCTATATTTTCGTTGAAGATGGAATTTGAAAAAAAAAAACAAATATTAGAAATTTAACAAGGATAAGTTAGATCATATGAAAAAAAAGCATAAAAGCATTTCTTTGGATTAAAAGTGTGAAAAAATGAGAACGCATGGAAATGCAAATAATTGGAAATAGCTTCGTTTTAACAAAAAAAAAAAATATTTGAAAGCCAAAAAAAACGCAAATCAAGTTAAATTCTCGAAAGAGTTGCGAGCATTGCCAAAAATAACAAACAAATTTGTTTTTAGAAGTTTTTTTTTTAAATAGAAAATAACGAACAAATTCGACAAAAACCCGAAACTATTGTAAGAGAAGTGTTTGTTTTGAATGTAAATGCAAAATAAAGAAAATATACCTTTGCCAAACCGGCTTTGTGTGCACCCTGTGACTCCATATACTCAACGTATTTGTCGAACTGTCGGAACTCTTCCCAGGTCGGTCGAAACACCTGAATCCTTGGTATCTGTATTTGTGACATGTTGATCGGTGTTCAGTGCTTCTCTTCAATATTCCGAATAACTTGTCAATCAAGTGCTAGTATTGAATGTTATGTCGTATACTACGTTTGATCTGTTTGAGAGAAATTAAAAACAATACATTTGAATTACTTGTTCTCAACGGCTAACGTTTCACTTCACTTAGAGTTCGAGTTTATCAATGAAATTTCTGGGGAAATATTTTTCGGCGGAAACGATTATGCCAATTGGAATGATAATAAATGAAAAGGTTGACCAATATTAAATCAATTATTATCAAATTCAATGAATTTACTGAGACTGAGAAAGCCATTAGTCATTTTTTGATGACACTAAACATCAAAGTAACTTATGATGACATTCCAGTCAGAGATTGAAATAGCCGGTAGTTCTACCGGAATCCGGTAGTTCTGAATGAAAAAATGCAGCTCTAAATCCGATTTCCGGTAGTTGAATTTTGAATATTTCTCACACAAATTTGCCCAATTTTCAGTTATCAAACGAAAATAAATGTAATCTTAAATGAATATAAATGAAAAAATCGCTCCATGAAGTGAAAAAACGTCACTTTTTTTATCTGATGCGGACGATTTTATGTATATACTTTAAATTCTGACTATGCAAAATCGCCAGTGCCAATGACTCTCAGTATATAAGCATACGAACAGCTGTTGGTGATCAAAATAAACAAACTTCTTTATTTCTTATATAGAACATTATATTCTCAGAATAAAAAAAATGAAACGATTGGATTATTATTCATGTTGCAACAATCGATTATTATATACGATTGCGTTGCGATATGACTTCAAAAAACGAATCATTCGATCGGTTTGATTTCTCGTCGCTGCGAAAGTACAATGCGAACGACAATTTAGTCAGTTTGGAGTCATAAATTGAATAATAAGCATCGCTCTCAATTGAAAATGAGCTCAAGAAAGAATAAGCCGAAACATTCTGGATCAACGATCGACACATTTTTTCAACGCCCGGGTAATTTATGAAATATGAATAAAATAATAAAAAAAAAATCTTGAAAAATGAAAACCGGTAGTTCTGAATTTTTCTTATTTCAATCTCTGATTCCAGTGTAATGTTTTGAAATACGTATATATTTCAAATTGGCACATGAACGTTAAATTGAATCAGCTGAACGAAGCATAAAGTGAGTATGAGCAAACGGAAATTAGACTAAAAGTTTAGCAATACTGGCGTTTCATAGCACTCCGATAGTAGAGTTTTAATCAAAGGATAATTAATGAAGGAAAAAAAACCACCAGAAATGAACCCGTGAGCATAAAAACGACTTATTAAACAATCGCCGAACAAAATGATGCAAGAAAAAACTACCGAACAAAACGTAACACAGCGGTAATGTGTAGCACAGCGGAGTTTCGTTTTGAACGGTACCGTCCTGCTGTGTTACGTTTTTAACGTGTGTTTTGTTTGGTAGTTTTTTCTTGTATCGTTTTGTTCGGCGATTGTTTAATAAGTCGTTTTTGTGCTCACGGGTTCAAATGTCATTTTAAGAATGTATACTTTTTTGACCAGATAAACTCACTGTATTTAATAGGATACACTCACATGCAAAATCACACTTACATCAAAATTAAAGTCACCCCTTTCGATATGAAAAACCCACGTACACATAAAGGGTTGACTAATTACCGCATCAAATGAAATGAAAATGCATTTGATACTTTTAAACAATTTGATCGATATGCGCTGGCTATTCTCAGACTATTTCACAAAAGATAAACCAACATCTAAATTGGGCGACACACACACACACAGAGAGAGAGAGAGAGAGAGAGAGAGAGAGAGAGAGAGAGAGAGAGAGAAAGCAAATGTCATTAGATAAATGAAACCTTCAAAAGAATTTTATTTATGTGTACACACGAATAAAATGGTTGAAATTCGTTTGCGATGCAGAAAATGATTTGCGGAAAAGCTGATATCGAGCACATTGAATGGCATGTATGTGAATTGGATGTTATTGACGTACATGTGTATCTAAATTCGCAGATGTACCAGAAATGTTCATGTACAAACACGATTCGGTAGGGCAACAACAATAAGAACGATTCGAATCTATACACAGAGAGAGAGAGAGAGACTCATACACATGTACGTCGTTTTCTCAAATACAATACAACTGCTTAAAAATCATGGAATACCAATAACCGCTAATGGATGGGTTTTTTTTCGTCTCTTTTGTACGGCAAAAAAAGGAGGCAGTGAAAGATAACAACCGAAGAAAACAATTCGGAAAAAGGCAATGAGTGAGAGAAATTAAGACCAAAATTCAGAGATAGAGACAGAGAGATGACATACACGCGCGGAGCAGAGCATAAGCAAAGACCTGATGTATTTGTATTTGTATATGCACTGCTATAGCAAGTACGTTCTGTGTGTATGGGCTTTTGGCGTACGTGACAAAGTCGGCTATCGAATCCTACGAACGATATTTTTGCTAAACTAATGCACTAACACCGTCATTGTTCACGCGCACACCGCATCCACACACAGAACACATGCACACAAATACCGCACACACCAATTCGACTTTTCCGGACGCACACACACACACACACACACACACATAGACAGAATTTGTGTGAACCATTCATCAAAAATGCGAATTGAAACAAAAATGCATCATATTTTTTAGTGCAGAAAACACACACTCACACAGGCACAACACATGAAAACCAAAACAATCACAGTAAATTGAAGAGAGAGAGAAAAAAAGAAAAAAAAAATGGTCACATTTTTTTTTCAAATAATTTCCAGCATCCAATTTCAATTTGCGAAACAAGAGCGAATTTTTATTGCCAAACGAAAAAAAAAACAACATCAAAACAAACCGATCCGATTTCGTTTTCATTGAGAAGAAAATCAAAACCAATTGACTTCTGAATTTCCACAAACGATTGTAAACATAAACAAGATGGTGGTAACACTGAACTTAAGTATATTGACAATGGTATTGCACCTGAAGTGTAATTTCAAAACTTACAAATAGTAAATGTTGCTGGTTTCTGTGGTTATTGCTGCTGCTGCTGCTGCTGCGAATTGAGTCAATTTCTCAGTTCGTTTGCACATGAAAATCCACAAAAATTCAGCAATCAAACTTCACTTTTTGACACATACACACATTTTTTCCGCGTTTTCGTTTATGTGCCTTGTCTATTTTTTTCTTTTGCCTCGAGTGGCGATGTTTGTTTTGCTTTTTTTTTTCTTTCAAATTGATATTTCCTTTATATATTTCGATGAAATTTTCTCTTCTTTATTTTGGTATGCCGTATGACATGCACTGTTCTCTCTCTTTATTTTAAAACTTAATACTATCGCAAAAATGAATATGGGCTGACGAAACAGGACGACATGATGAATATTATTCTGTGTGTTTTTGGTTTTACATTGGCTACTTATGAAATGTTGTCTACATTTTCATATATATATATACTATTTGTCACTTCTCACATCGCACAATAACTCAAACATACTGAATAATTTCACTTTTATTTGGAACATAAATTACGAGAACCACCATAAATATACATAATAAAATATTTATTTTTTGTTTCCAATTTTCTACACCAAATCGTTGTGTGGCTTTTTTCGCCGAGTGTTTTGATTACTTCTTTTTATCTGTCGTTTACGATTCCTTTGCACCTTGGCTACGTGATAATTTGCATTTAATTTTTCACCCCGTTCGACAATTTTTTTTTATTTGAGTTTATGTATTTGTGTGTGTGTGTGTGTGTGACTGTGACTCTGTGTGTACGAAAACTGTTTAATTTGGAACTAAAGTACGATTCACTTTGATGTTGATCACTAGCAGCACCAAAATGTTCAAAGTGTGATGGATAAATCTGTCTCAGAATATTGCACCGAGACAAAGACGGCTATAGTGATCGAAAGTGGGTTTTGAATGTTGAACACACAAACGCCATCTTTTGGCATATGAAACATGGCAATGTATATGTGTGTGACATAAAATCGGCCGAGCAGATTTTGACGTAGTGAAAAAAAGAAACTACCTTTATTAATCAATTTTCAAATTGTGTCGGTTTTGATTTTATTTTTTTGCTTAAAATAATACTTTGAATAACCGAAATAAAAATGTCCCAATTATTTTATTGATTATTTATTCATGCCATTTCTAACAATGTATTTTGCAGGCTTTGGGGGGAGGACGAAAGCAAAAAGGATCACTTTCTGTCTGTCTATATATATAAATTCTTTAAAATCTAGTGTAAATGAGATTCTAGACGAAAGATTGTTGTTTAATTGATGCAGAGACAGCAGTGGCTGCGGCTGCCATCAATTCTTTTCCACTTGTTGAAATGGCAATAGCTGCATCATTGCTTTTGATATTATGCGGAGAATAACGGTTGTAGTGGCCCCAAATTGCATTCATGAATTTCTCATTGTATTTCACTGGTAGATATTCCAATTGCTTTTGATTGTATACGATTGGAGTGGCACCAGCACCATCCTGACTCTTCGATGGACGACGCGAATTCTGTTCACGCATTTTACACACGGCAAAGGCGGCTTGTGGAAGTGATGGCATTTTATCTGGGAAAAAATATCAACAAATTTTGTGGTACACACAAATATTAAATTAGCATTGCGAAAAATCTACGATTCGAATTGAATGGAAATCCATTGGATTATAAATCAATAAATTTTTTTATTAAACAATCAAAATTTTATTATTTCTGTGAAAAATCTTACATTGTATAAATAGTACACAGATGATGATTGCCAATTGCTTTAATTGATGTATAAATTGATACAATTTAGCGTGTGAAATTTGTTGGTTTGCCACAGAGAGAATGTTTGTTGGTCTTGAAATCACCATTAAAACTTTTTATTTCAATAGAAAAGTCTTTAAAATCACAATCTTTCTTTTATTTTCTTGTTAAGAAAAAAGAAGCACACAACAAAATCGATAGTTTTTCTACACTCGAGATGTTGCGAAATTTGTCGCACAATTTTTATTTGTAAAATCTGATTTTAAAAACAATGATAATGGCCGTTATATGCCACAGCACAATCGATTAGTTGCAACAGTTCAGTCTCACAAATAAGAGAAATAGACAAAAAATATATTGTTCACAAATTGCTCATTAGCAAATCGAATCGAAAATGAATCGAAACAGTTTTATTCCACTTGGTATTGAGTGATTTTATTTTCATAAACGGCTGGCTAGCTTCCACTTTTTCGGTGTGAGAAGAGAAGAGTTCAGGTTATTATGATAAAAACTTTTGCATTAATTAGGAACGTGTGTAAAAAAAGTGACTGAGTCCAATTTTTCTGGATGATTGAATTGGCTGGCGTAACGCAAGCAATTTATTCTCCTTGAAAATTCCTTGTACAGACAACGTTAGCTGTTGTTATCAATAGAACGACTGGTCAAACGAATCAGGCGCAACACTGTGAAATCGGAATTCAAACAACAGCAACGAAACAAAATTACGATAGAGAGAGATAGAAAGGAGAGAGACAAAAAGGGAAAACAGCGATTGTCGATTTTCTTCATGCTCAAGTGAACATCGTTGACGACACTCGTTGCAGTGAACTGATGGGCTATGAGGTTTTCATAATTTTAGGGCGAGATATTGTGCAAAATGTGTTTAATCAGTGATATTGGCTGTGATTAACAACATTGAAATGATGATGGTTAACCCATCAGTAGAGTGTGCACTTTCATTGCTCATGATTTCATTTGTTAACGAACGGTTTCCAATCACTTGCTGCGACAGCATGGTTAAAACGACAATTATGACACTATGAGTATTTATAAGGGTTAATAGTGGCCTCAAGTCATCATTACATACGCTTACGTTTTTTTTTGTCGTTCATCACATTCAGACTGTAGGTTATCACCGAACTTATCAATCTGAATGAGGCTATCAGCTGCAAGCTTTGTTAGTATTGAATAAATACTGGTCAAAACGGATCGAATGAAAATCCATGCAAATAACTGATTTCTCTTCTGTCTTCTCTCGAAAAATGAGAAAACCAATAAAAATTTAAAATCTCAAACGAATGATATAAATACATGAGTTCGATCTCACACGCAAAGATGGACAACGGACTATGGTTATGCGTCTCGCGAATATCTGGCTAGAGAGCAAAAAGGTCAGATTCGGCTGATCGGCAACAATATTGCAAATAAAATTTAATTGCCTAGCAGAGTATGTATTGTAGTATTGCTGATGATGCTCCTATTTTATGCACGTAGATAATGTTCGTGCAATTTGACATAATTTACAATGACTATGCAAAACATTTATCAGAGCCTGAATTCGACTGCACAAAATCTACGCCGTAAAAATGAATACATAATTCGTTATTTGAAAATATTTTATTTTTTTGATCAGCTGATAGACCTCCTATCGTGTGTGAACCGATTTATGGAATCAAGATGTAGAGTTTGTTCGGTGCACGTACATTTCGAAATGACAATACACGAGAAAATAAATAACAAATCAACATAACCTCACAAAATCCATCCATCGAATATGATTTTGACAGACACATACACACAAACACATGGGGCAGCTATGCGATAATACAGATCTGATTCGTTCAATTTCATATGCCATTTGCCAAAAATGAAAAGAAGAAAAACAAAACAAAATCTATGTGTACACATGTGAAAAAGGGAATACGAAATAGCTGGCAGTAGTAGCTACAGAGCTACAACAAAACATTAAAAATAGACATTTGGATACATGTGTTGTAGAACAGTGGCTGATTATAAGACACGAACGGTGTATCAAAGCAAAGACGACACACGACAAAAAAAAATATTTAAAGAACAACCGTACACATTTTCGTTAATTTTCTTTTCTTTCTCATTTTGGTTGTTTTTTCTGTTTTCTTCTATTTTCCTCCGCTGTCGATGTGTGATAACAACATTTCGATTCAAATCGAGCTAAATCATAAGAACAGAAATCGTTTTTGAGTTCGCAATTGATCCAAACGAATGAATCAGAGTTTTTGTGATAGCTTCTTTAAGCGCAAAAAAAAAGCCTCAAGCATTCGTATTCACATTTTTCCACTAGTATTTACTTGGCAGTGTCTTCGTTCATATTAGTTTCTTTTTCGTGTGTGTGTGTGTGTGTTTGTGTGCAGTTTTCATGTTATTGACTTGGCGCTCCGTAAAGTAACCACAGTAAAAAAAATAAATCACGGAAAAAAGGATTACCTTTCCGATTTTATGTGATAAAGATTATTGGCACGTGCAATTTTCTACCGTACTTCTTTGCGTACGTGTGTGTATGTGAGGTAAGTCCAACAATTTTAAACATTCAAACGTCTCTAATCAAATCGCTCTCTACACTCAAACATTTTTCGAAGCAAAAAAAAATAAGGCCCTCGAAAGCATATTGCAACAATACACAATTCATTCCAATTAGCACACATTTTCGCTACACAACAGACAACAAAAACACACAACAACAGATAAACTGGCATTGCTTATGCATTTTGGACATTTGGCTCTCAAATGATGAAAATGTGTTTCGCATGCTCGTTATAGACTAAGAGCATAAGCATGCAGTTATCATTTTATCACATATGACACAACACAGCAGCAGCAGCAACAACTGCAACAACAACAATAAAAGCCCACTTCATCGAAATGTAATACGCTCAAGCCAAAACAATGCCAATGAAACCTTTTTCCCGTAGTACTCATTACATGTTATGTAATTTTGAAGTTTATAGTTTGTAGGGTGGTTCGATTTGGGATGCATTTCTATTTAAATAAAATATTGTGGCTGTAGGAAAAATTATTAAGCGCAAAATTTAAAATTTTCTTAGTAAAAAATTTAATCATTCGAAAATGACCAGTAGAGTATTACGAGTCATTGATGCATTTTCATCCATAATGTTCAATGAGATCGATGCTTCCGAAAAGAAATGCGTGAAAAAATTTTGAGAAAATTCCAGCATTTGATAAAAACACGTCCAAATGAGAGTTATTTTTTGAAAGAATGAACAAATCTCGTTAAAAAAAAATTGTCGATGGCCATACCAATCCACCCTATTGTGCACAGGTTTGATTCTTAGTATGCGCGTGTGTGTGTGTGTGAGAGAGAGAGAAAGATAGTCATTTTTAGCCAAACGCTGTAGTATGTTTCGATGAAACTGTTCACTCAAAAATTTTCTTGTAGAATAAATCAAAATCCGAATAGAATAAAATATGCGAAACGAAAATAGAATTCCGTATTGATTGACACACAAACCCTTCATTCCTCAACAGAACCAGACACAAGTGCAAAAAGCCAATTGAGAAGAGAGGTCGAGATACATATACAGATAGAAAGTGTCGGTGTCCACACTGACTCCATACACAACAAGCAAGAGAAAGAAATTGATTGTCAAATTCAAAGACTTTATTCATCATGGCTGATCCGAACCGGATTGTTTTGAATTTTCACAATACATTGTTGCGTGAGAGTGATGTAAATTTACTGATGGGTCCACACTGGCTAAACGATCAAATCATCTCATTTTATTTGGAATATTTGGAGAAGAATGTGTTTCAGAATGCGCGCGGTTTGCTGTTTATATCGCCGGAAGTGGTGCAATGCTTAAAATTTGTGACACGCCAAGAGATGAGCATCTTCCTTGAGCCATTGAATGCCAACGGGAAATCGTTCATATTTTTACCATTGAACGATAACAACGAGGTAAAAGCGGGCGGTAATCATTGGAGCCTTTTGGTATTTTCACGGCCTGAATCAACATTTTACTACTACGATTCGTTAAGCAGTGGCACATCATTGCGATCACTACGGCCATTTTTATTGGAGTTGGCCGCCGCAATCGATTGTCCCGAGTTCGATGTGCGGCAGGGCGATTGTGTCAAACAAAATAACAGCTATGATTGTGGCATTCATGTGGTGTGCAACGTTGAATGTTTGGCACGACGTGCTTTCAAATACAATTCCCTCGATGATGACGACACAACCGTATCAACGGATGAAGACCCCACGAAAATGACCACACAGAAAATTCGGCAAAAACGACAAGAAATTCTCAATATTATTCAAAAGCTCGGCGGCAAATTGTAAATATCCACACAGGAACAACAACAACAAAATGACCAATTCAACAGCAACATCAATCAATGCAAAAAAAAAATTTCTCACGCAGAATCCAGAATAAAATCAAAATAGCAAGAATGAGGCACATCAGAGAAACAAAAAATAAAAGAAACGAAGATTCTAGAATATAAATGCACTTATTTATATAGTTGAAAATATTTTATAATACATTAATTGAACCGAATCACATATAAAATTGAATGGAAATTCCTATGCGATCTGTAATGAGCTGCACTCTCAGATTTGGTTCTTTTCTCACACAGAAACATAAAAAACAATAATTATTCAATAACGTATATGTATAGCAAGTATGAAATGAGTCGTAAATAAATGTGTTTGACCTTTTTTGTTCGTATCTCTTAAATACACAATTAGAAGTAATCAATTGATTTTTCATTTGTGTGATCTCACTAAGATTGAACGAAGAAACATCTTCCTTTCTCTTTCTCTCTCTCTCTCTCTCTCTCTCTCCCCTCTCACTCGAGACGTTCATTTCGATAACATTCTTCTTGATGATGTCACTTACCAGCTAATTTACAATTTTATAAAACAGAGAAAAAAAAAATGTTGAGGGTGATTTTTTTTTCTCCATCCGATTATCATATGTATAAGATTTACATTGTAAAAAAAATATATTGATATTATATCGAAACCATATCAAACAGCCACATTTATTACATCATTTTTTTCTTCGTTTTTTTCTTCTTTCAATTTGTTATTAAAACTTTGTTCTCTTTTTTCCTTAAATATTCAAAAGATTTGTGTTTTGTTTTGTATATGAAAATAGATTTCACTTAACACTCAACAATAAACGGGATAAGGAGACGAATGCAAAAAATACTATATAAATGTGTGTATATAAACTCTCTTTCTTAATTGTAATAATTTCCATTTGAAAACAACAACAAAAAAAAATTAAAAAACTAAAGAAAAGCGGTAACGATTGTGTATGTTGTTGTTGTGTTTTATGCGGTGATTTTCGGTGCAACCCATCCGCCAAAACAACGTTCCAATTCGCTGGCCACAGCCAAACAGAGACGATCTTGATTCCGATTTGCAATCACCTGTAAGCCAATTGGTAGACCTTCTTTTTTGCCAAGACCGAGTGGTACGGCTGTTGCCGGTAGTCCGAGTACGTTAATAATGGCTGTGTAGCTAAAATTGAATGGACGCACAATGGGTTCATTGTGATAGGGTGCAACGGTGGGATGTGTTGGATAGATGAATACACCATCGGTGCCCAGCATCTCTTCAAAATCACGCCGTAAATCGTCACGTTCTTTCACCTTTTCATAGTATTCGGGTGTACCATTTTGAATACCCAAACGATCCGTGATGGCTGTCATAATTGCAATGAATGTATGCTTTGACATTCCAAATATCCATTTGAAGAGTTCGGTATATGGATTGATACGACCATTTAAATTTGCCAATTGTGCATCAAATGACACTGATTCATCGTCTTTCATATTGGCCAGCCAAATTGCAACGGAATCCTTGAGCTTTGTCAATTTAGCGCGTTGTGGTTTCGCCTTAAGTGACACCTGTAAATGACGAATCACTTTGTCCATGGCAACACGTAGATCGTAATCAACCGGTGACACAAAATATGACCCACTATCACTTTCTTGGTAGAAATATTTGATGTTCGATAAATTCACCGGTTCATCTAAATTCAACTTTTTTGCATTGTCAGCTGCCAAGATTTTTAGCATTGGTTTTAGATCGCAAGCAAATCGACTCATTGGTCCAACGCCCAAAAATGACATTTGTTCTTTTCCCTTTGGTATTGGATATTGACCAAATGACGAAACGATAAATGGTGACGGCTTGTGACCAAAAACTCCATTGAAAAAGGCTGGCATACGAATCGAACCGCCAATATCGGAACCGATTCCGAATGGCGAACCAGCCGCACCCTGTTATAGAAAAAATGCATTAGATTCTTTTGAAATTCAGCAACATTTGGATTCAATTTCGAATAAATTTCATTCGACTCACCAATAAACATCCCTCGCCACCACTTGAGCCACCAACAATTCGATTTGCATCATATGGATTTCTACTTCTTCCATGAACGGGGTTCGAACTCTCCCACCTGATGCAACAACAACAAAAAAATGATCAAAGTACAAATCAATAAAATAAAAAATTATGTACAACAAACTGGAGCCATTTAAAAAAAGCCATAAAAATTTATAGAAATCAATAGTCATTAAAAAAAAAACGGCAGCACCAACATAATAAGCTTACCACATGCACACTTCCGATACGTTTGTCAATGCAAATGGAATGGCACCAGCATCTCGCATCAAACGAATGCTGTCCGCATCTTCGGTAGCGCGTGTGTTACGTCGCAGCCAAAGGCCACCGGTATGCAACATATCCTTAACGGCGATACAATCTTTTGTGGATATTGGAACGCCTAAGAATGGTTTCGTTTCCCTGAGTTGATCGACAGTGTATTTATCGGATGCAATGAGCTCATCCACTTGGGCAGCCTCTTGTAGCGCATCATCGTAACGTTCGTCAACCACACAATTTAACAATGGATTTACTTGTTTGATTCGAGCAATGAATGTGTTTAGCACTTGTGTTGATGTGATCTAAAAAGAAATTCGGAAAAGAAAAGCAATTTGTGGTTAATTTTGTTGAAAATTCCATTACAATCTTCAAACTTTTAACTTTAATCAAAATTCAATCAATTAGTTTGTAAACTTGAATCAGTTGGGAATTTAAATTCAGTTCAAAAACCAAATTTTGATTAGGAATTGAATTTTGCCATATTCTTCTTCTATTTCGTGTGAATCATCGTTATTTTTACTGATTTAATCTATGGTTTTGTTTTTTATCATAAAAACAACAACAACGATGACGACGACGAACAATGGAGCGAAGAAGAGGCAATAAAATTAAAATAAATTAATAATAAAAGAGTCTTTTATTATTGTGAAAAATATTTACTTTTTTGGTGCGAATTTTTTCGGCAATCGATGTGGCTGATTCGAGTAGGAGTAGATCATCGATGGGTGCCATTGATGGTCCATGTTCACCGTGCACTTGAACCACAACAAAACGAACACAAAGACAAAGGAAGCGATGCAATAAATTCAATGCGACTATAACGATTGACGGTTTCTGTAAATCGGCCGATTCCTTGGAGTTGGCCAAATGTTGGCCATCTTGTTGCTTGCTGGTCATTGTGGCTTTGCGAAAAAATGCCGCAGTCCCTCGGAAAATGGTGATAAAATCTTGTTCGATCAAATGTCGCACAGAGATCAATGACTTACGCAAAATCGTTGTGAATTTGGCAAGTGCATGCTTTGCACCACGCGGTACCGATCGTCGTACACGTAATGGCCAAAAATTGAAATGTCGCGATGATGCTGACACGGATTTTGTGTTTGATTTCACTTTAACCGACGGCAACTTACAAATTGTTCGCTGTAAAATAGCCAGCTTTTCTTCGTTATTGTGCTCTGTTGTTGCTCCAAATTATGCTATTTTTATTCTATGTGTCAATAGCAATGGATTCAGCTGAAAAGAAATACACAAGTATCTGTCACACGTTATAGAGTTTATCTGAAAATAGAAAATAACGATAGTGTTTCAACTTGGAATGAAGTGCAAAATGAAAAAAAAAAACAACAGCAACAACAATACATTTTATGAAGAGAAAAAAAAAACACAGCACAAACAGAACAACACATCATTGGCACATACAGCGAAATAAACAACGATAAAGTGAGAAACTTGTTATTTTTTTTCTTCTTTCATATTCCGTTTCGTGTGTTTATCAAGCGAAAAAAAATCGAGAGAGAGAGAGAGAGAAATTCCTATATATGATTGAAACAAAGATGGACTTAGAACTATCGCAATGAGTGTGAAACGAAGGAATGACGACTTCAAATGATTTTTCTGTTTTGTTCATATTACATTCATTCGACTTGAGCAATGTGACTTGGTGTTGATTTGTTCATGAGTGTTTGCCTCTGTGTGTATATTGTTGCCGTGCGGTATGTTGCTGTTGTTCTTTTTATTAGTGTAGTTTTTGTTATTGTTGTTGTTGCCATTCAGTTGAATGTGATCTCTTTCATGTACTGGCACAAACAAAATAACGAATATATCCGTCTTAATCGCATTATGTATTGAAATGGAAATGGAAATGTTCAATTTCGAAGCGCACACTTCAACAATACTGAATGATATGGGTACAACAGGCAAAAAAACGGACCAACCGAATGACAACGACCAAAAAAAAAACAATGCGCACATAAAACAATTTTTATATTGACTTTTATCCGAAGGAAAGAAAAAATTATTATTATTTGTTTGGCTTTTGTGTAAATAAAATATGTGCCATAGGCCGTCACATATCATCGTGTTCGTCAACATGGATAAAATGTTGATTAACTTGTATCGCCACACTCTATTTTACGTTTTTTTTTATACTATTCTGGTTTTTTATTTTGTCGGTTGATTTTTGGATGATAGACACTATTAGTGACTCACTAACGGCCTGGAGTCAATTTCAATTACCGTATGATAATTACTTTTCCGTCGTCTTGCACACCGAGAATTCTGATATAATTTGAAACACGCGAACGCCAACACACGACAATCCCTTTGCTAGTGACAATGGGCAACGAGTGAAATGTGCATGGGCTTTTAAAGGTGGCTCCAAATTGATTCACACAGCCGCGAGTCCAAAGCCGATAGAAATAAATACGCAGCAATGATGTCGATTGATTGATAGAATAATTGAATTTTTTTCATGCATTGTGTGTCATTTGCTTCGTGTATGTTTTACTTTTTTTTACTGTAATTCTCTGCCACAGTTCGCACACCCATTGCAAATAGAGTATGGACATGGACAATCAATTAAAATTGGTCAATTGATTGACAAAACTTGAAATAAATTAAAATATGTACGCACGACGCCTACATAACTCTTGCGTTAATTACGATTGTGCATTCTCTCAGTCACAGTGATTCACTTTAATAAACTTCTCTCGACCTCTTCAAATGATAAATACATTTCAAAATGTTATCTTAGTTCTACGGTTTTTCCATGCACACATACACATACTCGTAGATACACGCGCGTGTTTTACAATAATGCAAAACGAACCATAAAACGAACCACACAATCAAAAATTTGATTAATTATTCTTACAATTTTTGTGATGATTGATTCGAGTAAATCTTTGTCCCGTCGCCGTGCTGTCACTTAACATCGATGAATTAAGCCTGATTCGATAAAATTCTTCTTCTTCTTTTTTTCTATTTAATTTTCGTTGTTGGTTCCGCGTTGTGCTGTTTGTACTATACTATTTGGTCGTTTCAATTGAAATGCTTATTCAGTCTTTTGGAACGATTTGTTGTTGTTGTTTTTTTTTTCACTTTTCAACATTTCGTCGTATGAGTACGTGTGAGTTTCGGTGTGTCGTATTGGTTTAGAAAATTTGCGTGTTGTGTTTTTTTGTGTGTAAGTTATTTTGGTGTTGTTGTGTTTTTTCTCTTCTCTCCTTTGAATGCCACTTCAGATTCATTGAGTTTCATTTGCCAATGGAAGTATATCGTGTTTCTTTGTTATACCTCGTTCATTCCATATGAACACGATGGATATCTCTCTTTCAGAAATTGTAAGTCTATAATGGTGAATGTCAGTCGTTTACTATTGGCATTCCTCACACGAACCGTACGGTTTTTTTTTCCAACGAATTCAAATTAAATTATACTTCGTTCCACGGGCACGCACGAACACAATTCTCGGCTGTTTTTTCTTCTTTTGCTCTTTCGCGCAAAATACACTTATTTTTATTCGCTATCAATATTGAGTAAATTCGTTTATTTGAACAATATTCCGTTTCGTGTGTATGGCTGTTTTTTTTTCTTCTATTTGGTCTTTGTTGTTCGATACATGTCAAACACTGACATTTGACAGTGCAACCAATATCCAATAGATGGCGTTGAAGTTTCCCTTGCTATATTCAACTGCACCAGATTAATCGTTGAATATTTAACGGAATTTCTTCCGTACCGTAGCCTAATCATTTATTTACGTTGAAATGGATTTAATGTGTCTCATTCTTATGGGGCATGCAATCGTCTTATGCATAAAGCTTAGCATTTCCGTCGTTTATTCATTTTGCTATGCTTTAACTTTAAGAAAAATCGATTAGAGCTTTTCTGTAATCTTTTGTGTTCCGGGTCATTATGCAGAAGGAGATAGTCAAACGGTACAATGTACGGATGACCAGTAGCTGTTGAGCAAAATTGTTGCAATTGAATTTTATGATAATGAGTATGATGAGACACAGAAAGGCACAGTTACAGAGCAAGTTCACGTTCATTCATCATCATTCATTTGGTGAATAATCTCTTCTGCCTTTGTAAAATAAAATTTACATATTCTTGAGTCAAGAGTGACACCTGAAGAGTGCTTCATTAATTCAGATTGATGATGAAAATACACCGAAATTACCATTTGAATTGAGTTGTATGCTCTCGCTTGCTCGCTTGCTTTCGCGCACGCCGCACCATGGGCATCCCCTTCCGATATATAAAGATACGCGTACCGTGCACACGTACAGATGAACAAAGGGCATTTTGATAACAGCATAAAACAGCAAACACCTGGAAGTTGTTCAGAACATTTTGAGTGCGGAGTTTATTCGAAATTTGATTGAGATCAAAATTAATATTAATATTAATAGCGCACCGCCATCACCACCAGCGGCAGCAATTGCAGAAGCTGTGCGTCAGCTTTGACTCAAGAAAAGTTTATTTTGAAATTTTCATATTGTTCGGAGTGGTCTTTGGTGGTGTTCATAACTTTTTTTTGTTGCTGTTGTTTTGTATAGCTTTTGTTTAATCTTCATTCATCTTCCCCTTTTCCTCTTCAATTTTCCGTATAGACTGATTGACTTAGAAAACGGAAGGGCATCACAGTGTGCTAAACCACCTTAGTGCGAACAAATAAAACGAACGTAGACCAGAATCCGTGGAAAATTGGCACAAAAATGGATGAAACGCCCTCGTTACCTGCTGAAAAATCACCCCAAATCAAACTAACATTACCCACAACGGAGCCGATAAAAAATCTATTCAGCCGCTCGCCATCGCCTTCACCCACCCAGAAGCGGAAACAACTTTTGCTTCCAACAACAACGATGTTGACGACGACGACAAACGACCCAACCAAAGCACCCAATTTTCAAACCAAATGTGAAACACCGTTAAATGTTAGCTCGGCAACAGGTACGTAGCATCTTTTTTGTTTTTCCCAGTCTTTGTTCCATGCTTATCCGTTCGATTCTGGTGTTTATGGAGTATTTTTCTCATTTATGTTCATAAGATGCGCACCACGTATTTTCCACTTCTTCTTCATCATCATTTTTATTTTCTGGCAAATAAATTGCATATTGAATTACTTGGTTCCGGTTGCTTCGACCAAAAGAAACCGTTAAATAATACTCATGTATTTCATTTACACTTTGAGTATATAAGAACTTTTTCCCTCCGAATTCGTTTGGTTACGAACCAAAATTCCTCATTAGGATAAGACGAAGAGAGAAAAAAAAACAGAAATTACGTATTGGATCATTAACACTATATGTTTGCACAAACACAAAAACCCATTACGTTGCTAATGGAAAGTTTTTGCAGCGCTGGATTTTTTCTTCTATCTCCCTTTGTCTTCCTCTCTCCCTCCCTTTCTCTCGCGTTAATCACAGATATTTGATATGATCTAGTAGAAAAAAGTTGGTGAGTGACTGAGAAAGAACGAAAGATACTTGCAACAATCACATTTTCATTCTTCACGCTTAATAAATTGTTTTTTATGTGACGCATTAAAAGCGACTCGCATCATGAAAAAAGCAGCAACAACAAAAACAAAAACACCAACAGCATCTCATCGCATACGAATTGATTGTTGACATCATCTTTCCTTAAGACATTCGCAATCTCAATCTTATTTCCCTTGATGTCGAACCGACTCTATTCGATATAAATACTTATCGATGATAAAGAAAGACTCTCGCTGCAAATAAACGCTGGAGAGAGAGTGAGAGAGAGAGAGTCAGAAGTGAGGAAAATGGGAAGAGCGCATAGCTTCGTGCAGAACGAGATGAAAAAAATGCCATTATTTTCAACAAGTTTTTCCCTCTTCTGTGTGTACCAACCACTTTGACAACATAGATAATTACTTTTCCGCTAGAAATGGAATACTCAGTTAACGTAAAAGGTAAAAAAAAAATTATGCGTCATGCAAAATGCAAGATGGAGTTAAAAAAAAATGAAAAACATTTTTCAATTAAATTGTTTTCTCTATCTCTCTATCTCTCTGTGTATGCAGATACTTTGGTCTCGCTCTTGCTCTGCGTTCTTGTATTTAACTTGAGCGTTATTTATTTTTATCAAAAAAAAAAAACGAGATCAATTCGTTAGTTCAAGTGAATAAATGCTGTTTGTTTATTTATCCAATCGTGGCAATTGTTGAAGCGATGGTTGCGGTGGCGAGGACGAGGTAGATACACGCACAAATACACCGAGATATACAAATAGATAGATTGATAGAGAAAGAGCGGAGCGGGTTTTTTTGGAATGCATTTGAAAAGCTTTTGTACACAAACTCACAAAAAAAACGGAAAACAATTTTGCACATTTCCCATGATCCTCTTCCGATACACATTCTCTATGTTGCTCTTCATATTTATGCCAACAAAAGAGCCGTTTGATTGAGTAAACGAGAGAAAGGGAGAGGGAGAGAGAGAGAGAGCCGATACGAGATATAGATAGAAAATGAGAGCTTTCAAATCGTTGATTTCATTCTTATGATTTGCCAATGTACGATTTCGAGGCCTTAATTCACTTTGCATGCTCATCTCCATTTGAGATATTATCAGCAAGGGATTCAAGGGAATTGATCTCTCGATTGGATTGGCTTGCTTGGAAAATGACGACCCAATCAATTCGCCATCGAAACGGAATCGGAAATGAAAGATGAACATAGAGAAAAAAGAAAGAATAACCGATACGATACGTTGATACATACTGCTCTCGCTTCTATCACGACGGTATGCAAACAACAACGAATGTCAACGTCGCTTTTGGGCAACTCCATTCTAAATATGGCACAATCTTTCTTCAACTCATGGATGCCATCGTAACAGTTTCATTTTCCAATTTGTATGCCTTTTTTTTTTAAAAAATGTTGCCTTTGCCTTGTAGCAGCAGAAGCAGCTCTGCAAATGGAACAACAAGGATAATGCTAATGTTGACGACGACAACGAACGGCAGTTTGGCGGCATCAACGGCAACATAAGCAGCAGCGGTATAACACAGCATACGAACTTTTCTTCTTTTCATATGTTTAAATTATGTTATTGTCGAATGCCATGTGGATAGCATTATCTTTATCAGAAGCATACATCGAATGTGTATCATGCCAGCCGCATTCATGCTTGTGCCTTTCTCGCTCCACATCCCGATGATATTCTACGTATTATTCTGCACATGGTCTCTTCACTCTATCGCACTCACTCATTCACTCTCTCGCCCCGCTTCGCCAGCTCTTTCTATCCGTTGCTCGTGCTCCCTTACTCACTGCTCGCTGTGTGTATAGTATATGGCTGAAGTTAAGTTAAATTCAACATACCATCCATCGCGTTTATTTTGCAATCACGCTAGGCACATCGGTGTATATAAAACACAACGGGCTTGATAGAAGTGCTTTCGCTAGCACTTTAGTCAGTTATGATCGAAACGCTTGGCCGACAAGACATCGCCTTTTTCTTTCTGTCCCTTATTCTTTGGCTCGAGTGTTGAATTCAAATATTCGATTCGTTATTCGTACCGATTTATCATCATCATCATCATCATCATATCGGTGGTGATTGCAGTTTTCATGCTATCACAAAACCGACATTTATCGAGACGATTATAGAATGGTTTCTTGTTATTCCGAGCCATATAAGTTTTTATTGTGAAATCAGTAGAAAACAAAAAGTTATGACAATTTATTTTTAATTCGCACATTGCAAAATGATTGTTCGTTCGGTTTGTGTTCGGGCATTAATTGGTTTCTCTCTGTCTTCTTCTCGATCTAAAACATAAGAACAATGTAGTTATGTATCAAATTACCGTCTATTTCGGTTGATAATGGGCCGTTTGACCGAGACAACGGTCGCAACGACGACGACGACAACGGTGGCGGCCATCCATCGTCCCAACAAAGACGACTAAAATTCAAACCCATATTTTCTAAAGAACAATAAACGAATATATCAAGCAAATTAGCAACAAAGAAAATATCATTAAATTGCGGTGCTAGTGCTACTGCTCACAATCAAAATTTTCGTTCCAAAAGAATGCAAAGTCAGCTACTATGTTTTGTGTAAAGTGTATCATGTGTATTGCATTTAGTGCGTTTGAGTTTGTCTACGACGAGGACAATAATGGCTAAACGGCTAAAGCAAAGGCAATAAATGACATTGATAAATGCTCTGGATGAGCCTGAAGATCGTGCGTATTAAAAAGGCTCACAGACACACACACACACGCGCGATATATGAAATATAAGACATATTTATCTATTATGAATAAAAACTTTTTATTCTGTTTATTTTTATTGGGTTGTGTATTGCCCGCTGTTGCCTGCCAAAGTTTTGCAGCGACTGAAAGTCGCGAGAAATTGCCTATGTCGTGATATTATTATATGTGTAAAAGCAAAAGCGACAGAAAAATAATATATAATAAATAACGCCGTACTGTTTGAATATGCACGCATTAAATTTTAAGAAGCATGGATAAGATGATGGGATTGTTGGGAAATCTCGTTAAAATTTACATTCAACGCGTCAAAAAGGGATAAGCGTGCAATTGATTTTCGTTTGGCGTGTAACAATATTGTCAACCGTTTTTGTCATCATTGCCATCGTTGTCGAGATAATACCAGCAACGGCGTGAACATAATCATAACATCGAAAGTTCCAAATCTTTCTTGCTCTCGATCTGGCTTAAAACTCGAGTCATTGCTTCAATGTTTTGGATTTTTACACAGCTTTTGAAACTTTATTGAAGTGAGGGCTGTTCGGTTCACTGTTTCTCCTTCCACTATTGCTTGAGTGAGTCTCTTTCGTTGTCTCCCGCCCTTCTATCGCCGTAGCAGCAGAAGCAGCAATTATGACAAATGAAAACTTTAACAATTCAATTATAAACAATTGTTTGGCCAATCTAAACGGCAAATTTAATGGAGCACACACACACACACTCAATTGGAATGTTTGTGGTTGTCAGTTTTGTGAAGCTACACATTAAATATCATACGGCAAAAATAAAACATTTAAAACGAGTCACAGCAAATGAACGGGAAGAAGGGAATGAGGCAAGCATAGAGTGCGCGCGGCCACTAACAAAACACAGAGACCAAGAGACAAACTAAATGCGTGAAAAGTATTTACTCAAGCGAAACAACACTTCGGCTTGTCATTGGGTCAATATAAACACACTTAAACACATACTCCTGAAAGGGAAAAAGGAAGAGCGAACCGAAAAAAAAAACTCGTCAACAATAATTTATGATGTTACTATGCGGATGGCGAAAACGACGAAATAACAAAAGCTCAACGGCTTTGAGCCGAACACAAGCTACGAATTCATCGTCTTCCGATGAGCACGAAATCAATGATAATGCAGCACCACCAATCGCCACCACTGCCACCATCGCCACCACCACCACCACCACGGTCAAATCGAGCGAAGAAGACCATTCAACTGAAAATCCCAAAAGTATGTGGTATACTTTTTCTTCTTCATCACTTCGTACTATTTTCTTTTCTCACTTTCCGTTCTTTGTTGACGTCTTTCGATCGGGGTGGGGGTGAGAGAGGAAAAACAAGACCGCAGAGCTTCGCTTCGCTCCACTCTGCTCTGCGTTCTTGAGTTTTTAGTTACTTAATTTATTTTGTTGTTTCACAACAAACTATTTTTTGGCGCACTACATGAAATGTATTTCATCAAAGTAACTTTGAAGTAATTTATTTATTTGCAAAATGAATTACAAGATCTTGGTTTAATTTCTTTTTTGAAATATACTGCCCTTGGTTTAAATTAAATAAAAAATATGAGCATAAAATTCAAATTCATCATAATTTGTTTCAACACTCAAAAAGTATCTAGGAAAAAAAACAGATTAGTAGCTCTACATTTCATGTAGTGCTAAAAAGAGAGAGAAAGAGAGAGAGAGAGAGAGAGAGAGAGAGAGAGAGAGAGAGAGAGAGGAAAAAAATTCTGGGGAAATTGCAAAAAGAAGACGATGAAAAAGGCGATATTCAATCATTATCCTCTTTGAGCCGATGTCAATCACATTTCAATTTGATTTGGATGTTCGCCTCCACCCAAAAAAGCACAATCAGTTGTGGCGTTTCAATATAATGGCCCATACAAACTCATTAAATACAAATTGAGGCGTTTTCTTTGGACAACATTTCCACTCACTTTCTTCTATTCCTCCTATTCTTTCATTCTCGCTCTCTCTCTCTCTCTCCCTCTCACCCTACCTCTCACTCCACCTTATACTATTTCTGTCTGTGTGTATCTCTGTGCTGATTGAACTACTTTGTGTTTAACATTTATGAATGATTGCATTCGCTTGCTAAATAAATGTTCGAATGAATTATTCGCATGATTAAATGGTAGTGATGTTGTATTCAGTGAATGTGTCTTGTGTGTGAGAGAGAAATGCTATGTATAAATATTGAAAATACGTTTGAAATAGCATGAAAATCGAAAATAAATTAGCTAAATTTGTTTGCAATCCACCTTTGGGGCGCGATGAAAATTTCATGGAATTCATGGCTTATACGATTGCGTTTGTTCGTTTGTCTGCCTCATTTCTATTATATAATACGGAGTTTTGCGAAATGGAACGTGCTATGGATTCTCTTGAATTTTTGGACCACGCAAAACGTTTATCGTTCTCTCATCTCGATATTCCACTAGATTGGTAAATGTAATCGGAACTAAGTTTATTAAAGCATAATTTCAATGCAGCATTGATTCGGGGAAATAGTCTAGTTTTAGCGCTGGTGCCCAATAGAAACTCAAACCGATTAATTATATTGATATCATAATTCATTTACAATTATAATAAATGTATTTTTGGTTCATTTAATCGCTGCCAAACCATAAACAACAATAACAACAACAAAGGCAATCCCCGTAACAAATGTGCGCTACAACCTGGTCATTCGCTAATGGACTGGGTGCGATTGGGAAGCTCAAATTACGATTTAGCTGGTACGAAAGGCATCATTCGACCGATTAGTTACGAAGAACTGGCCAAACACAATAAAGTCGACGATATTTGGCTGGCGATACGTGGCAAGGTTTACAACGTTACGAAATACATGGCATTTCATCCGGGAGGTATGTATTCAGCATTATCATCATTTTTCACACGAAAAATACGACTACACACAGACACTGTGTCATGATGAGAGAAAGCTTACAAAAAAATCCCACTCTTGGTTCGCTTCTCTTTTCCTCTTATCCATCGCTTTTCATTTTAAAAAAAAATTACAGTTTGCTTCGGAAATATTGAACAAATTGATATAAATTCCCGGAAGAGAAATTGAGCAACGATCGAAAAAAAAGTAGAGCCGAAAAGAAATGAGAACGTAAAAAAACCAAATTCTATAACGAAAGTGACAAGCTGAATTGATATGGATTTTTCGATTGGAATGCGACCCAGATACGGATATTTCTCATCTCTGACACACACACACACAGGCAAAAGAGAAAAACCTATTCGAAAGTCTTTTTGGTGCAAAATAAACAAACATAATGAAAATTGAATCAAGTAGCAATGTCACTAGCGAAGAACACGAGATACATATCCTATACATAGGATGATGGATAAAAAAATTACATTTCTCGAATTCGTGCAACCATTGTTATTGTTACTGTTATTGCTGTGGCTGGAATTGAAAGAGCTTTGTGTTTGGTCGTTTTTTTTTCATCCCTTTTCATCCGTGCATTCATTTTTGTTCCTTTGTTCATTTGCTTTGCTTTTCATTTTCACCTCCCGCTCTTTTCGCCGATGTCTAGGTGTTGATGAGCTTATGAAAGGTGCTGGAAAAGATGCAACAAAACTATTTGATGATGTTCATGCATGGGTGAACTATGAGCAGCTTTTGTGTAAATGTTTTGTTGGTCCGTTGCGCACCACGTTGACCATAAATTTGGATGTGAGTGGAAATAGTTCACGAGCAAAAAGTATCAATCAATTAGCGAGCTCAACAACGCCAAACGGTTGTTTTAAGGCGCCATTCTTGCCTATATTGAATACGGTTAGCAGTGGCAGCAACAAATCACCAACAGCGTCAACGGCAACGACAGCCAAAACAACGGACGATGACGCACAATCCACTGTAGAAAGTAGCTTAGGTGCAGCAATTGAAATTGTGCCACGGTTCGATTGGATACAGAAAACCAATGAACTTTCACTGGTATTTTATACAAAAGCATTGTGTAATCCAGCGCTTATGATTCGCTGCATAGCCGCAACCAAATTGGAAATTAGCATTCAAATCGAGCAAACGCTACACTGTAGCCAATTTCAATTGGCCGATCAAGTGGATTTTCCGCCAATTGCAACGAAAATTAATTATGAAACGGGGAAAATTGAATGCATCTTTCATAAACATGTGCCTGCACTTTGGACAAATTTCGGTCTAATGACACGGCAAAAACTCACCGATTTAAGCAATTGCAAATATCTATATAATGTCATTGAACGAGTACAAATCACACACGATTCTTATGCATTAGTCTTGCAGCCAAAGCATACTCTCATCCATAACCTACCAATCGGCCATCATATCAGTGTCACTGCAAATGTAGAAGGTAGGTGAACATAAACATTTCATTTTGCCATTGGCCGATTTCTTCCGAAGAATATTCTGATTTATGCTCTCATTTAATTCATTCTGTGTCTCTCTTTCTCTATCTCTTCCTTCGCAATCTCTCCGCAGGCACCAATATTACACGTAGTTATACACCAGTACCAAAATCATATGCACCAATTAGTTGTAATCAAGTGGCCGATCCAAGTTTTTATCTATATTTATTGATTAAGACATATGTAAATGGTGCGTTAACCAAACACATCACCAATAATTTACCGTTGGCCCAAGACTTGACAATTTCGCATGCAAAGGGAAATTTCAAGCTGCAACAAATCAAAGATTTTAAACGGATTGCGGTGCTGGCGGCAGGTAGTGGCATCACACCAATGCTAGGTATCATCGATTATTTGCTCGAACGGAGAACCAATAAAGTGTATGTATTGTGATAAGCGGAGCTAAAGTAAATATGAAATGGCAATATCAAGGTCGTTTCGAAGCAAACAAACCAATAATAAATTATATTACGCAGAATGACACAAACGAAAAATAACAGCCAACCAACACATTGTGTTTCTTTTTTTTTCTTTTTCATAGTGAATCGATAAATATGCTGTATTTCAACAAAACGGCCGAGGATATTTGGTGTAGGAGTAATTTAGATTCATTGGCCGATAAAAATAATAGGTACAAATTGGTTAAAAGTTCAATCTTTCTTTGGGTTTTTTTTTCTTCTGAATATCGATTTTATGTTGTTTTGTGTGTTTTCACTTCTGTTTATCTTTTGATTGGCATGTTTGCAGGTTTCATATGCGGTATATTTTATCGGAGCCGAAAAATGCCGAGGATTGGCACGGTGAAATTGGCCGTATGACAGACGAAATAGCACAGAGCCTATTTAAATCGGATTCGAAATTTTACTCGGAATATTGCCTAGTTTGTGGTCCGCAACCGTTCAACGAATTGTGCACGAAGACATTGGGATTGGCGGGCTATGACGAGAATCGCATGCATTATTTCCGCGGTTGATGCATCGCTTTTAGGACGATATTTACCTTTTAAAAAGCATTTTTTTTTCGGTTTTAATGCCGATCAAAAACACTCGAGCTAAATAATTCCAATTTGTGATTTAAAAATTAACAAAACCAATAAAAACCAGCAATAACCAAATGAAAATGAAGAAAAAAAAGCAACAAAATCTTTTTAAAATGTTTTCATTAGAGAAAAAAAAACTATTGCTATGGATTTGAATTTATTTAATAAACAAATGATCAAAAATAACTAAAAGTAAAAATTGGCATTTTGTTTTTCTCTTGTATGAATTCGATTCGCCAGAGAACCATTGAAAATGATCGTCGATTTTCCAATTACATGAGTATAAAATTTGCGCAATTTGTTGGATGACACACAAAGGTAACATAAATGGCTTGATTGTTTTGGGGTTGTTAATCAACAAATAATTCACCAAGCGATGAATGCAGACACATAGAGATAGAGCGAAATAAAAAGGTGAGAATTTTTTTTCAACGCATAGCAACCATAGTTACGGAAAAAACTTTACGTCATTTTTATGCTGCTACGATTGGCTATAGTATAGAACTACTGGTTGAGTGTCGAAATGTGGGTAGAATTTGTTTTCGTTTGGTCGTTGAAGCATACAGATTAAGAAAAAAAATCAAAATACCAGAGCACTAGTGGCACAGGAAGAGAAAAAGTGAGCTCTAGTGAACAAACACACTACAAAATTCGCATCAAAGTAATCGAGAATTAAAATTTTTTGTATTAAATGCGCATAGTTCGTGTTTGTGCAGGAAAAAGAGAAAATTGTGTTTGCTTTGATAAATCAAAGAGAGCGAATCGTGTGTGGACGTATTCAGGTTGAACGTAAAGTGAGCAGAAAAAAAAACGGTGTAGTTGAAACCAGAGAGTGGAGAAGAAGAAAAAAAAAGAAGCACGATGTCCATAAACGAGTTATGTTATGTGGATCAGATGAAAAAGCAGTCGTTAAAAGCACAGGAACTGCTGAAAAAGCAATCACCACGGTTTGTTCCGCCGTTTTCAATTCAAAGCTTGCAGAAGAATACGAAAGTGATGCCGTACAGTGTGTTCAATCGAAATCGAAAATTAATAAAAAAACCAAGACGCACTTCATTTCGTATGCATTACGAACGTGGCGATTTACCATTACGGCTCGATTATTTTCCGGGTGGTGTACGAATTCTGTGGACACTGGATCTGAATAAATTGAATTATCATTTATATTTACCGTTATTTTTCGATGGTCTATCGGAGGCAGAACATCCGTATAAAACGTACGCTCGTCAAGGTGTTCGTGACCTAATTAATTTCGGTCGCGATAAAATCTATCCCGTTATACCGCAGCTCATTGTACCAATTAAACGTACGTACAATGCAACAAAACAATGATGCCCATTCCATGTATAAATTAGAAATTAGAAATTATGACCTTTTTTGGCCATTGTTTGCACTCATTTAACATTCATTCCCATCGGCGCTATTTAGCTCTCTAACGGCTGTGTTTCTCTCTTTCTCGCTATCTTTATTTTTAGGGGCGCTTAATACGAAAAATAAAGAAGTCATGTGTGTGACATTGAAAATTATCCAACAAATGGTCATGGCATCGGATCTCGTTGGCCCCGGCTTAGTGCCCTTTTATCGTCAACTGCTGCCCATGTTCAACGCATACAAAACATTCGAAGGTAAGAATAAGAATTTCGTCTGAATTACATGTTGATTGCAGTATTCCCCAAATGGATTACACAACAAATCCATTTCACTTGTCCCATTCTTGTCCCATTCTTGTCCCATTCTTGTCCCATTCTTGCACTGTTCCTCTTATACGCTACACAACTGTTCCTTTCCCAAAACACTTTCACCCCATGCTCTGATCCATCTGTCAAAACCATTTGACACGACAAAATACAATGAATTTGATTATTGTTCTTGTGATTCCGTTTTTTGGTAGTGACATGTGACGACAAAGTCGACTATTCGCAGAAGAAAAGCTGTAATCTGAGTGTATTGGTGGAGGAAACGTTGCAGGTACTCGAACGGCATGGTGGTGACGATGCGTTTATAAACATCAAATACATGGTCCCAACGTATGAATCATGCCTTTTAAATTGAGGCATCAGACCGGATCGAATCGCATCACAAACGTGTACTTTTGCCGACGAATTTTCGACATAGCGAAATCGAATATATTTGTATTGAGTTTTAACATTTTACGTTCCGATTTTCTTTCATTTTCCATACCATTTCGCACCAATATTTAGTCCCCTCAACGAATCTAGATAAAATGTATTCCACCTATTTGGCAATTATTTATCGATGTCGTTTGTAAGCAGCACGTACAATAAACAACTGGACAAACTGAAAGAGGATGCGAAATACTTATACACGCAAACACGTTTCGCATCAACCAAATATACAAATTCTATTATTATTAATAATGTGTTGAAAAATAATTCAATAAACTGATTATACTGAAGCATTCAATTTCTGTGTGAGTTGTGTTTGGTAGAATTATTTTAGTATCACATCGATATCAAGAATCTGTTGGTATTTTCATTTTCCATTCAATAATGCTAACAAGTTGGAAGTTGTGAGCTATTTATTGAATGTTGATTGGACTCATAAAATGCTTTCCATTCGAAATTTTCATAGATATTTATTCGTTCAGATATTGGTATATTTCGTCATGGAAAGCGATCGAAACATTTCTCTTGTTGGTAAAAAAAAAGAAAAAAAACAACCAATTTATCAATAAAACTTGTTATTACCAATAAATACATTTTCAGGACATCGCACAAAGGCACTTGACAAAAATGTTTTCGGTGAAAGAATGAGAGTCGAAAAAAGCGTGATGTATCTGAAAAATATTTCCAGTACTATCTCAGTTTCAAGAGCGGAATACTTCAACCAAATATAAATGGGAAAAAACATTTTCCATCACGAACGCATCTCCAAAAATGGAAAAAAAAGTGACCTCTGTTTTTATTGCGCCATAGTCGTTTTTTGTTCATCTGTTCGATGAAAATTCCATCGTTGGTCGCCATTGGGTTGAGTAAAAAAAACTTCGACACATTTAAATGTGTACAAGAAGTAGCATCCAATTCGATTTTCAAATGAAACGCGTTTGAATACTGAAAGCCGAATAAGTCGTAAACAAATGAACACGCATTAAAATTTACATCACATTTTTTCCCTTTTTTCCTCTCTCTCTCTCTCTCTCTCTCTCGCAGCTGTTCGACAGAATCATTCGGATGAAAATAATGGAGCACATAAAACGAATGTGCTTGAACCGTTTTTTTTTGTTCGTTGTCATCCGTTGTCGCTAGGCCATTCGGAAAAATTAGCTAGTAACACCATCAACGCACCACCAAAGGAAAAATTGATCTCGATTTGATTTAATAAAGAAGTTAATCGCATAAAAGAATCTAGCGGAGATAACAGGCAAAATGACATAATCATGATCGCATCTCTCTCCATGGCCACCATTTGTCTACCAATCGACTCATAAGACAAATAATACTACACTGGTTGGGCGAATTTTTCCCGAATTACATGATTGGCCCTCCGGAAAACTTTTCTCATCATCAGCACCGACATAATCGTCGTCGTTGACGCATCTGCACCAGTGGTGAGCGGGCTTGGCATCATCGTATATCCAAAATTTCATCATGAATCTGCTAATTAATTCATTAATTAGTGTAGTATGTTCATCAACCAATTAAGTGTCTGTTTTTGGCATTTATTTAGATGACTCCATACCCAGGGGCACCACATGTGGGTGGCTGTGTGCTTCCATTTTTATTTGCACTTCACGAAAATTCACACACATCAAATGTCGAATTTTTTTTTCTGTCCGTCATTACATAAAGCATAAATACGTGAGTCAATAATACGTGATCTGCATAAATTTCGGTAAATTTTATCCATGTGAAAAAGTTGTCAGGTTTTTCATTCACGATTCGCTGAAATTGTAGGAACAACAAAAGAACAACAAATTTATACTGAAATTATATGCAAAGCCAGAGAGATTTTTGGAGGATAAATATTTGGAGAAAAACAACGACGGAAAAATTCGAAACATTTGTTATCGAAAAGTTTGCTCTCCGCTTTTCATGCGGCAGATGACCGTATTTTACCATTTAATTTGTTGCCGTTGTGAGAGGGGGATAGAAGGGCAGAGCGAAAGAGGGAGATAAAAGAGCAGAGCGAAAGAGACAGAGACAGAGTAAACAAGACCGCAGATCTTCGCTTCGCTCCGCTCCGCTCTGCGTTCTTGAAGCTTGTAAATTTAAGGGGTTTAAATAATTTGATATTTCTCATCAAATTATTATCGTAAGCACTACATGGAATGTAGTTTTAATCGTTGGAAATGTTTGTTTCACAAGTTTTAGTTATAAATCATTTTAATATTGTCAAAAATAATTAAATAAATTCATACGATGATATTGTATTCTTGACTTATGTGTTTTATGTACAATGTATATTGTACGTTCAATGTGAATGGTCATCGCACATTATTTCACATTGGCAACGAAAAAAGTGTAAAGAATATTTTTTTAGTTATCTCAAAATTGAATTACGTGAACATTATATTATTTCTTATTTTGCAATTAGGCGTAATTGCTTCATTTGAAATAAAAAATATGGATATTAAAATGAATTAGTTTACGGTCGAAAAAAAAATGGCCTAAAGAGTCTTAAAAAATTTTCGGGAAAAAAAATCACTACAGTAGCCTACATTCCATGTAGTGCTAAACAAGACCGCAGATCGTCGCTTCGCCCCTCTCTGCGTTCTTTATGTTATTTAAAATTGAGTATTTAAATTAATTTGATTTTCCCATCAAATTATTCATCGAAGCACTACATAGAATACTAATCGAAGCATACATTTCTTTATTTTATGAAAATTATTAGAAATAATATCAAGTATGTTCGATTCGGACTCTATTTTTTCTGAAGATGTTAAAATCTAAGGTGGAAATTGTTAATTTACGTAATTCAGTCAAGAAGGGAAAAATGAAAGTTCAAGTACCAATAAAACAAAAATTATTAATAATATTGATATTATAAATAATAATAAATCAATCAATTGAATAAAATTATAATTCTATATATTATATTGTAATCTCTTAAAAATGGGTTTTGGGTACGATAATGTGAACGTGGATTATACATTATTTCACATTGAGAATTAAAATAATATGAATTTTTTTTTTTGAGTTATCTCAAACATGAATTACATGAACATGACATTATTATATTTTTATAATTAGGCGTAATTGCTTTATCTCAAATTAGAACTTCGGATAGAAAAAAGAATTAATTTTTGGTCCAAAAAAATGACCTAAAGAGTCTTAAAATTTTCTCGAGAAAAAAAAACAAATACAGAAGCCTATATTAGTATATATTCCATGTATACTACATTCCATGTAGTGCTAAAAAAGGAGCGAAAAAAAACAGTTTCATACTCTGCTTGCATTTAAAATACATTAAAATAACCGGACACTTGGTAAACTATTGCGAATATCGTTTTTCGAATGGTGGGCTTTGCAATGGATATATTGCAGTACGTAGTCTTCGTAACGTTGGATCCATTCAGTATACCTCTATATCGGCAAAGTCCATGAAAATGAACGAAATCGAAAACTTTCATCATGAATCATTTATTTGTTTTTCCCCCTTTCGACGCATGGTTTGTCCCGTTGAAGAAAGCTCTTATCATTCCTCTGTAAACTATCCACTTTTCAAAACTCTCTGAACAGTGTTCAGAATGAGTGAACACATGGATAGACTTAATTTCACTTTTTTTTTGATAAAAACATTTTCTTTTGTGAAATACTTTTACTCAAACTCAATGTTGTCCAATTGATGAAAATTTCAGATAATATTTAACATTGTGCAAGAAATTTTTGTTCAGCGCGCAACGACGAAAAATTGTCTTTGTTTTTGATTCATTTCGGCAAATATTTCATCCGGGTGAAATGTGGATTAATCAATTTAATTGAATGTCGCTTGTCATTTTCAAGTGACTGCAATGAAAAATGTTGACTTTAATTACAACTCTCAGACATAGAAGACGTATGCTTAAAAGATTCAAACCGAATGATTGAAGTGGGCATTGCAAAAAGCAATTAGTGTTACATTTATCGATTGTTCTGTTTGTTTTCGGTAGATACAGTTTCGAACCGCTTTTCTTTGTTGTTGTATTTTCTTCGTTATTGAAGTTGTTACTGATTACGAATGAAAAATTTAATATCACGAGATAAAATTGTTAAAACACCGTTGTATATCGTTAGATATCGTCTTGACAGTGCAAACTTACGGCGATAAACAAATAGTTAGCTTAGAAACGTTTGACAAAATCCAGTTAAAATTGGTGCGTGCACATATGACTTAGTCTCACATATTTCGGCTTATTGAACGGTGAGCCAAACAGAAAGCGAAAGAGAAAAAGAGCGAGTGAGGGAACGATAGAGGGAACCGAACTTGAAAATGCTTCGTGCACGAGCGGTACAGCATTACCGGCTGAATGACGAATTGTAACTGCTTATGTTCACCTAAAACTGAATCACCCGAAAAATGTGTGTTGTTTTCAGTCATACGGTTGTGTACACGGATAGATATATAGTATGCGAGTATATCTCAAGTACACAGTTTCAGTATAGTGTGTATAGTATATATATATAAATGGAATACGATATGGGAGCATGGAATGAATGTGGCAAGTATGCGCATTTGCGCACACCAGATGACTATGTTTGAGCGAATAGATGAATTTAGTTACAACACGGATGCCGTCGCGACGTATTCAACGTTTTATAAACAGTGTTTTTCTGTCTCGTCTTATTCAAGACAAAGTTCAATCGCCGTGTGCGTTTGCCGGACGATAAGAAACAACAAAAATCACAGATTTTCAATACGGTTTGACATTTTTTTTTTATAACAATATCAATTTTCCCTTCAATTGCAGGAAATTCGTTGACTCATAGATCATGTTTGATACCACGCTTTTATAGCGGCATTTAGTGGAATACAGTGAATGGTGTGTGTGTGTGTTTTCTTTTTTGACTATTGAAAGTGAAACCCGAATGTAAGCGTTGAAATCCCACTTGATTTATTGGATTTTCTCTCAAATTCGTGAACTTTTAATTTATCCAATAATTTATTTGAACTCAATGTCAATTGTAGCGTTTGATTGAGGTGAATGGATGGTAACAAGAATGCATTTCCATGATTCTTACTCAGCGAACTAAATACAGTTTTAAAAGAAGAAAACAAATTCAACGAGACGAACAATATCGTTGTGATGATATACAATACAAGAGAATAAGTCAACCAAGTGTCGCCATTTCGATTGATTTAAGGGTGTGCAATACATAACTGGTGAATAGTAATCGTGACCTCATTTAATAGCCTAGAAAATCGAAATAAAACCTAATTAAAAACACAGTTTGAAATTTTATCCGATCACAAATAGCACTTGTGCGCAATTTATCCATGCAATTAACATCAATGTAAACAGCAAAAGAGTGCAAACTCTCTCAAACAAACACCAACGGCTGTTGTCATTCATTCAATTTTTGTTTCGGTTTTGTTTTTCTTCGTTTTTCCTCTTCGTCTTTGTACCGACAATGTGTGTAAATAACAAACAAAAATGCAATTGATTCGGCATTTTGAGCTGAGCAAAACGTAGGCAAACACAACAAAGCGAAGATGAAAAAAAAAAATGTCAATATAAATCTAATAATATATTTGTAGTGTATAGTTTTTCCTCACGTTACCGCATGCCACACTGCGCAAGCCCCGAAAACATCCGCCTGTCTTTCATTTATATACCAGTTATACACAGAGAACGGAACGGAATCGAACGGACACACAGAACCGTTCTTGTGCTCGGGTTGGAAGAAATGACGACAAAAAAAGGGGGATGATAGACTCACACTGACTGTTTTGCATGCAGTTACGATGTGTATACAAACTGTCCTTTTAATTTTTGAAATATTTCTGAATATGGTTGCTATCCCCTGTTCTGAAAATTTTGTTTTCCTACTGCTAGCTTACACGTGGTCGAATGAGAGAATGCCGCTAATGAAATATGTAACTTTCCATTTTCATTCCTTGGTCCGCTTATTTTCCAACACACATACAAATTACCAATTTCGAAGTTAATTTCAATCGAAATTTTCCGATTGTTTGACAATTTCAACTGACAAGCCTACTTTGATTTCCAATCGAACGCATTACTATCGATCCGAATCCGATGTCATCTCTTTTACTTTGTTCAAAATGATTTTCTGTCAAAAAATTCAACTGTTTAACGACATTGAATTAAAATTTTACTTTTTTCTGCTGTAAACGGTGTTTACTTGCACCTTCCAGATTGATCTCAGCCAATCAGAATAACACTCAGTCCGAGATCGAAAAATTCGTTTGTTTTGTGTTAAAAAAAGGTGCAAAAATAATTGCGATGCAAGAGTGCGCTAAATGCAAATATTGAATGTTTTTCTTCTTCTGTTGTATTCTATTTGTAAACAAAATTCCATGCATTTATTGATGTTTATAAGAATCACTCAAATGTCAAGTTTGATCTCGCGCGCTAGTAAATACGCAAAATGTATTTAATCAAATACAAATGTTTGTTTGTTCGCAGCATCACCAATCAAGGGTAGTTCGGGGCAAATCAATCGAATGTGATTTTTATGGACGGTTACATTAGTCCAGAATCATTTACCGTCGGTATTGTGTCTATTTTAGCGGCAAGCCATTGCCCTGTAATTCATGGAAAGTGATTAGTTTGATGGACGGTGTCGATTGAGATGAAACCACAACAAAGTGTCAGAACAAAAAAAAACACGTCATTGTTTTGCATACATAATCTCAGTCTATTTACCCGAAAAATTATCATTATCATCGTCGATTCATCCATCTATCTGGCGCGAAGAGTCACCGCATAGTATACACAGTGCATAACCTGGTCGTTCGTCTGGTTCGTGTGGTTTTGAGCTTCTCTTCATTTTTTCTCTCCCCCTTTTCTCTCTCTCTCCCTCTTTCTGTATAAGCATCTTGTTTGCTCAATCAAGTGCTAATATTCAATGTTTTCTTTTCTCTGTTGTTTTGATTACTTCACGTTTCCACGTAATTTAAATAAATGAACGCAAATTCATATTTGAGACACAATAATAGCACAGGTGAATTTCGTCATTTTTCTTGCATTTTGAGTTTAAGAATCGCTACAAGAAGGTATCAAATTGATTCAATCAAATTGATATCGATATAACGAACGAAATCATTGAACCGAACGGAAAGAATGATGAACCAATATGTTTTGCCGCAATTTTAAATAAGCCCAATTTAAACAAAACCAAATAAATGAACATATTTTGCCAAAATCATTGAAAAAATACATATTTTGAGAATCAAATAAAAACTATTTGACATATTCATTAACTTAAGTTGATAAAAGAAGGCAAAACTTGTGATTTCACTCAGCCTACATCTTTGTTGAATCAATACAGAATGGAGATACATCATTTATAATTAACTTTATTTGCATGCAGCAACTGATCGATTGCATTAATGTAATGTGTGTCTCGCTTTTTTTCGCTTCTCAAGCAAATAAGAATGGTAAATAGTCGCACACCAAAAATTGAGTGGCTCGGCAAACGTTTTGTGTGAGAGAAAAAAACGAGAGAGAGAGAGAGAAAAAGAGAGAGAGAACGAGATAAAAAAGTAAAATAAAAAAAAGTGTCAAATCATCACCTAATTCATAACTGAAAATTGGTGAATTTGCATTACGCGCAGTCCGAATTTATTCGCGGTATATAGGAATAATGAAAAACGTGCGATACTCGTATTTGAACGATAATTTCTTTGTACTGATCACAGGCATCAAAAAGCAGAAACAAAAAAGCGATTTTTGTTTTAAATAAAGTATGCCATTTACACTCATCTCTAGACGACAACGGCAAATGAAATGTGAAATGTTGAAAATTTCAGCATATCGGAAATCATAAAACGCACATAATTCGCCATTAAAAACAATTACTCGACCAAAAAGAAAAACGAGCGTTGTGTAAAAAAACGAGAAGAAGAAGCGATAAAATCGAATTATTACACATGAGTAATAATAAAAGCAAATTCAATGAGTTGGCCACGATTCCGGCACACACACATTCTTGGGTCGGTGATTTGTTCGGTATCGATTTCATCAAGTCATACGATTTCACTCTCATTTCAAAATCTCTCTCTTGCTCGCTCGGTAATTCCAAAATAGCACAAAATTTTCCTTTCATTTTGACATCAAAACCATATCCAATCATAGCAATAGGTGATGAAACAAAAAGCAAACGCCGAATAATTTTGTATTTGCGCTCAGCGAATATTAAATGCGTAAATAGATTGAATGAGAAAACATTCAAGTACTTAATTTTCGGCGCATTTATTTTTTCGCTGCTGTTTACCAAATGGATTTTGGCCGATATATCAGGGCGCTTTGTAATTTAACGAACGAACAAAACGACCAGTAGAAGACTGAGAGTGAGAGCGAAAAAGAGAGTCAAATGATGCTAACAAAGATCACGTAATATGATTCATGCATCTATTTGAGAATGCTGATTGGCGATTCCGTGCTGCTTTTGGCACTCCTGCAAACAATGTTCAAGTCATTAGTTTGAGGCGGCCAAATATTTGACCAATGTCTGAAAAACATCAGAGTTCACCGAAACCAAACGATGCACAAAATCGAAACTCGCTCTCTTTCATGCAATTTCACTTGGAAAATCCGGAGAAGTAAACAAAAACAAAAACAAACTGGTCCATGACTGTTGCAAATCGTTCAATTAAGATGAAATTTGTGCGAGAGATCGAAAGTGTGTCTGTGTACTAAACAAAGCACACATGGGAAAATTCAAAACAAAAATAAACCAAAAATATAGTGTTTTTGTTTTATTTACATGAGTTTGGTATCTACCGTGTGTGTATGTGGGGCTTGATTTTTTCCATGTGCCGAGTTCCGTGTAATTTTTTAATCATTTGTTTCAAACAGCTGTGTGTATATGTCGTGGTCGTTGGACACAGTGTGTTAAGTAAACAAAAGGTGCCACACAGCCACCAGGTCAAATCAATAGAAAGAAGAAGACGAAATAAACGCAAACTACAAAAAAATTATCCAATGATTTGCGCTATTTTGATGGATTTTTTCATCTTGGCTTTTATTTTTGGATGCTCGGTCGTAACTGTATTGAAATGGACCGAAATGGTTGTGATCACATTTGCCAGCGCTCCATTATTCACATGTACTTGAAATGCCTTATTTTGAATTGGTTGCATGCGACATTCATTTGCCGCTTAGAATTCGGATGTTATGCGTAAACACACCTGTCAAACATTTCATTTTTTTCGCTCTTTCGGTTTGAATTGAATTTTTCGACGCGCAAATCTCAAGCATCAATGAATGAAGCGCTCGTGCGTATGCGTGTGTGTACACTTACGCTGTTTTTTTTTGTTTTTCGGCACTGACCCATCTTCATTTTTACCATTCCTTTAGTAGGAGTGACTTTTTGTTTGTATTGTTGTTGCGACGACCAAATAGAATTTCAAAACAAAAACAATCCCATTCAAAACGACCACGATTTCCAACGTCGACCAAACACAGCACCGACAAAAGCAAAACCAAAACCAAAGCCAACCAAAAAACATGAAATGCTCTCTTTTTATTTATTCATTTCTATGTGTTAACTGATTTTTTTTTCTCTGTTTTGTTTAAACTCATTTGATTTCATTTTCATCCATAGTTTGGTTGGGTCACCAAAGAGCAAACATACCGAACAGAAAAGGAAAAAAAAACGCTGTAACAAATTTGAAAGCGGAATAAACACATCGGTCTATTGCATACACAAAAACAAAAATAAACGGTAGAGAAGCGAATAATTCCCAGTGCGAGAGAGTAAATTCGATAAACAGTTCGTCGTTCAGTTCGGTAAGAGTTTGAACAAAAGTCATACATTACTACGCCAATTGGCGATTCGAACGGCACCGAAAAAATGGCAGAAACAACTGATAGCAAATCGACCAGCAAATCTACAAATAAAAATGCAGCCACATCGGTTTTGGCACGAAATAATGGCACTGGCAAGGAGATCAAAAGCATCATTCCAAGAGAAAGGTATGGTATCGAAAATATAATTGAATCTTAACATAGGATAACTCAATTAAAATGATAGAACAATTTAAAAGAAACTTTTAATGAACAACAAACTGATGAAAGCTAAAGTCATGAAATTGAATTTGATATTTTCCAGAGAGAAGGTTCTAAAGTGGAACGGTTGGGGCTATAATGATTCTAAATTTGCGGTGACCAATGATTTTATGATCTACTTTTCGGGCGATCGATATCCCATTGGCAATCTTTTGCTGCCTTACTTCAAGCAATGGGTACAGCAAATATTCAATTTAGATTTTACATCGAGACGCGTACCAAAACCCCTGCCAACGGTTTATCCTGACCCAATTCTCAACGATACATTTATCAACGATATAAAAGCTGGAAATATTCTGTTTTCGGTCAAAGGAGTGGATCGTTTGATTCGATCGCATGGTCAAACACTGTACGAAATCCATAATTTGCGGGAGGGTATCATCAAACGCATTCCAGATGTTGTTGTTTGGCCACAATCCCATGATGATGTGGTGACAATTGTAAATGCGGCCAATTCCAGAAATGTAACCATAATACCGTTTGGTGGTGGAACATCTGTATCCGGTTCAGTGACCTGTCCACAAAATGAACAACGATCAATTGTTGCATTGGACACATCACAGATGAATCGAATGCTGTGGCTGGACCGGCCAAATATGACGGCATGCTTTGAAGCTGGAATCATTGGTCAAGATTTGGAGCGAGAATTGAAAGCGATTGGGTTAACCGTTGGCCATGAACCGGATAGCTATGAGTTTTCTTCACTCGGCGGTTGGGTTGCGACACGAGCATCGGGCATGAAAAAGAATGTGTACGGCAACATTGAAGATTTAGTGGTGCAATTGAAAATGGTCACAACAAAAGGCGTTCTCGAACGAAAGTGCCTAGCACCGCGGCTATCGTGTGGCCCAGATTTCAATCAAATTATTCTTGGATCAGAAGGTACATTGGGTGTCATAACCGAGGTTGTGCTAAAAGTTAGTAAAATGCCAACAGTACGGGCGTATGGGTCACTAATTTTTCCATACTTTGATTGTGGCGTCAAATGCTTACGCGAAGTAGCGGCACGCAAATGTCAACCGTCAAGTATTCGCCTGATTGATAACGATCAATTTAAATTCGGTCAAGCACTTAAGCCCAAAGCCACTCTCTTCGGCAGCGTCATTGAGGGTATGAAAAGAGCCTATATCACAAAGTTGAAAGGATTTGACTTGAACAAAATGTGCGTCGCAACGCTACTGTTCGAAGGCGACGAAAAAGATGTGAAACGTCAACAGAAATTAATCAATGAAATTGCCGATAAATACGGCGGCCTTCCGGCCGGTGCGGTAAACGGTGAACGAGGCTACGTACTTACCTTTGTAATTGCATACATTCGGGTAATTGACAATTTGATTGTGTTTGATTTTGTTTTTCTTTCCTTCCTTTTTTGAATTGTTTCAAATTTTCCACCATTCCGTTAAGAATTGCTCATTTTTCATATTTTCCATGTTAATTTCAATGAACAGGACCTGGCATTAGAATTTTATATTGTGGCTGAATCGTTTGAAACGTCTGTTCCATGGGACAAATGTGCGCAATTGTGTCGAAATACGAAGCTGCGTGTCTCAAAGGTATGCACCAATTCAATTGCTTTTTTCTCAGTGGTTGTTTCTGGACTGTTATTCAATTCATGAATGAATTTTCAATTCAAATCACAAATCATTTGACAACAAATAAAATATGCTCAATTTATTTTCCACAGGAATGTGAAAAACTCGGTGTAAAATACTATTTAATATCGTGCCGTGTGACACAAACCTATGACGCGGGTGCCTGTGTTTATTTCTACTTCGGTTTCAACTATTCCGAAATAAAAGATCCCGTCGAAACCTATGAGCACATTGAATCGGTGGCTCGAATGGAGATTCTATTGAATGGTGGCTCAATTTCACATCATCACGGTGTTGGAAAGCTGCGTAGCCGATGGTATCCGCAAAGTGTGAGCAGTGTTGGTGTTGGCCTCTATAAATCGGCCAAACAAGAACTCGATCCAAAGAATATATTTGCGGCGGGCAATTTATTACCCAATCCAAACGATGTGGAACACAAACTGGAGCACAACAAGCCACAATCAAAGTTGTAACAGCATTCAATTCGAAACCGGGTTCCAACATATACATTCGTTAATTTCATTTGTATGTGGTTTTCGTTTTCATTCATCATTTCCAAGAGACTAGTGTAAAGTTACCATAAGCAAATGTTTAAGGGCAATATTTCTTAAACTCTTTTTTTTTCTTTTTCTTTATTAATTTTCCAATTTCCATCCATTTCTATCGCAATGGTTCGATTTCGTGTAAGTTTTAAGTTTTTAGGGAATTTTTACTGCGGAAAAAAAATGTATGTCTTTTTAGTTGATTATTGATACAGAAATAAAAGAAAAAAAGAAGAAACAAAACAACAACAGAACTTGAGAGATTTAATTGGTTTTATTCTCTTATGCAGCATTTGAAAAAAAAAGAGTAAATTTGTAGTTCACAGAATGGAAATGTGTTTGTATAAACTCAAGTCAGAGGTTTTCATTGTCGTGTTTGTTTGTTTTTTCGTGGATATTAAAATACTCTCTCAGAAAAGTGAGAAACTTATCATCTAAATGTTGCCTAACAGTATACACGATTCGGTTTTTGGAGTCGATGTTTTTTTTTTGTCTGTCGCTCAGCCGGAACAACCGCGACATCCACAATGTACACATTCAACAATCCGTCCTTCTTCCAGTTTCGATTTGGGCACACGACATATGCAATTTGTACCGAAATTTGTGTCACGCGTTTGGATGCAACGCAAACAGCACAGATTCTCATAACCAGACTTTTTCCATTTCGCTATTAAATTGGGATCGGCAATCTTCTCCGCAATACAGTAATCGTACAATTCACGGCTAATCGCCTTTCGGCGATAGAATAAATCATAGATATAACGGGATTTTTGATGATGCACTTTGAAAATTGGCCACAATGATTCATTTATACGCTTTCCTTCATGCGGATCCGTTTCAGCTGCAAAAAAAAGAAGGGAAAAAAATCAACTCATTTAGTTATTCACTTCAATGATAACAGAAAACAAGTGTTGCTCTCTTTCAGTTCTTGATAAAATGCGTTGAAAGAAAAACGGAGTGTAAATACAAAACCACCGTATCGTTTGTTAAACGTATTGTGATCGTGTCAAAACGTTTACCTTCTCTCATTTTCTGTTCCAATTCTTCCAATGTGGGTTCGATCAGTTCCCATCCATCTGGCGGCTTCTTGCGACTACGGCGAATTTTCGGCATTTTTCTATACTTTGGACGATACTCAAAAAAAAATTGACCTAACTATACAAATTCGGTTCAGAAGAATTCAACAATAAAAAAAATGTGTTTCTTTTATGGAAGTATCAACTTATTTGATGGCTTGAACTAGAGTGAATGACGTTTGGTGTGTGTGTGTGTGTGTTTATGTGTTTTTTCTACATCGTTTGTCATTCATTCCGTGTTGCCCGATGTGTTGGTCTGCATGTGTATATTTGATGCGATAGCATCAGATCACCGATAGGGACACACAAGGGTGAAAATTCGATGAACAGAGAGAGTGAAAAAAAAATAAGAAGAGGAAAAGGTATCTGTCAACAAAATTTTTTCTTTCTCTTGTTAGTAGTACATATATGCAATTTTAACCATGAAGATGGCTGACACCACACCAATTATCCGCAGAAATCGTCCTGGAACCAAGGCAAAGGTAAATTAATTCCCAGCTAAATGATATTGAATACCGTACGATTGTGGTTAATCTATCAAAATATGAAATCGATTGCATCGCTCGAAAATGGTTTGATGGCTGAAAATTTGGATGCTGAATTGGTCATGTTTTGGTTACACCTGATATTTGACATACAGACGGAATACGATTAATCTCTCTCTCTCTCTCTCTCTCTCTCTCTATCACTTTGGGTATGCTGTTTTTGTGTTCGCCTGTGTTGTTGATGAAATTAAATTGTGTACCAACCAGTTTTTTTTATTCAATCAATTAGTGGCTTGCAAATTGCAATTAATTTCAAGGTGTCGGCTGGAGAAATTGTGTTGTGTGATGGCGACTTGATGAGTCGTGTGTGCGTGTGTATGTGCATTGTTTGGTTTTATGTGAAGAATTGCAAGTTGCACTCTAGCAAATCAATCTAATTTCATTTCATTAACGAAATTATGTCATTTACGTAGGACTGGTGCCATTGGCCAGATGAACTGTTTGAGGAAATGGACAGCACATTGGCTGTACAACAGTATATACAGCAGCTGATCAAAAATGATCCATCAAATATCGAAGTAATATTAACGATGCCGGAGTCACAAGATGAAGGCGTCTGGAAATATGAGCACTTAAGGTAAACTCTCCTTGCTGGATGATTTAATTCTTCTTTTTCTCAATCATAACAAGTGAAAAAGGGTAGGCAAGATGAAGTGATTGATGTCGTTTCGTTCTAATTTTTCTAGGCAATTTTGCATGGAGCTAAATGGATTGGCGGTACGATTGCAAGCCCACTGTGTTCCTAGTACATGTACACAAATGACTGCCACCGAACAATGGATATTTTTGTGTGCCGCCCATAAAACACCAAAAGAATGTCCTGCTATCGATTACACACGCCATACACTGGATGGTGCAGCCTGTCTATTGAATAGTTGCAAATACTTTCCAAGCAGGTAATCAATCAATCTCCAATTGATTCAATTTGATTTCGGAAATGAAAACATTGCTCTACAACTTTTCATATACACATAGAATTTCCATCAAAGAGGCATCTGTAGGTAAACTAGGTTCGGTGTGTCGTCGAGTTTATCGCATATTTTCCCATGCGTACTTTCATCATCGCCGTGTTTTCGACGATTTCGAAAGCGAAACGTATTTGTGCCATCGTTTTACACATTTCGTCACTAAATATACGTTAATGTCAAAGGAAAATCTCATCGTACCAATCGAAGGTGAAACTGATGTTGGCACCGTTGCCGGTGAAAGTGAAGCATAAATATTACAAGAAGAAGAGGAAAAAAAACAACAACAACATCAACAACAATTCCGCATTCAGCTATAAAAATTTCAAATACGATGATTGTATAATTTATTTAAACTCAATCTTAATATTTACTGAATTATCGAACAGTAATGATGAAAAGAAAACACTCAATATGACACATATATAAGAAAAAAAAATTTAAACGTAAAGAAAAACCAATATGAAACATTCTTAAAACAATAGATTGTAGGTGTGTGAGATTCCTTTGCATTTTATTATGTTCATTCAAAAACAAAATCATTTAAAATTAATTTTTTTCCTTCGTTTATTTCATTAGCCGAGAGAAAAAAAAATACATAATAGAAACCATAACACTAACTCTGTACAATCATTTATTCAGTGATTTGTTTTTTAACCGTTTAACGGCATATCGTCATGTTGTGGACGACAGGATCAATCTTACTCTCATTGACCAAACCTTTCAAATAGAAATAGCACAGGAACTATGTTTAAGGACATTAGAATGCAAATAAATCTTAATTAATGAACAACAATAACAATGTTATTTTATTCAGACAAATGCTGCTTAGTTGCGCGCTCATGAATTTTATTCATTTTGTGACTATTGAAATTCGATTGAATTTTTTAAGTGGCACGGATTCAGACTATTGAACTCAACATTTGGATAACATCCAGCCAGTTGAATTAAAGAAGAGTGTATTTCTTTATGATACCAATCATCGCTCAATTGAAAATGAAAACCAAGCGTAAACTCAATTATTTCCGAAACGAATGGAATTTTGGAACGAAAATATATTTCCGTGTGCAAGAATAAAATAAATGGAGTTCTTCAATGAAATAGTACTAAATCATTCTCTGTGACCACATTACAGCTAAAATTTGCTGAGAAAATAATCATTGTAGAAAATTAAGAAAAATTACAATTTTCAATTATTTCATTACAATGATGATCTGCATGTCTTATGCTACATCTTATGTGCTCATCCCATCAATCAGACGGATCGAATCAAATGGATGCATCAACTCGGCAAAAAAGAATCATAAAAGTGATTTATGACATTAAAATTGAGACACAAATTAAACAAATGGTCGGTGAAATATTCGAAAGTATCATTTATTTGGCCATTGACTTTTGAACATTGTGTTCTTTTATTTTGTTCTACAATTTTCTCTCCAAATCTCTTTTATTTTACAATTTTATTGTTTCTCTAAAAAATATTTTCCCTTTCTAAGCATTATCTCTTGAGTCAAATTATCCTTACTAAATTTACCAAATATACATTTTTTTTCCCTTAAAATACAAATTACATATTGATTAAACTGACATAAAACACGCATAATAATCACATTGGATCGATTTATGGATTTTGAGGTACAAAAGTAGAGTTTTTTTTAATATAGAGTTGTTGTTGTTGTTATTATTATTTTTCACTCTGTTAGCATCGAATGAACGCCCATGTCAATTTTGATAACACCATCTTGGCAAGAAAAAAGTGTGAGACCGCCAGATCAATAGTAACAGAGTATTCAGTACGAGGTGTATTGTGGTTTGATTGCACTTTTTTTTATCATTGAGTCGCTTTGCGTTGTTATTGAATGCTGTAGATTTGTTTGCAACGTTCGCAGCACGCATTCATGTCGACCGAATTATCGCAGCATCCGCTGTAAGATAGAATAGAATTTGTGATTGGAATTGAAATTTTATCCCAAACATGGTAAAACAATTCGAAAATATAGACGATTAAAAACCGAAAAGCAGAAACATAGTTTAAATTGTCAAACTCTTTGAGTGGATCTACTGAATCACTGGTGGTATCATCCATGATTCTCACTACTTACAATAGTTGAACGCAGCTCATGCAGAGCGGTGCATTGCACTGGATGCACGAAATACCACAAAATTCGCAAATTTCCAAGTTACAATTGATGCAATCGGTGGCTTGAATAGCCGATGGTTTGGCGCAAAAGCGACATCGACGTGACACCGTTTCGGCGGCATACTTTGAGCTTGCATCGATGTAGTTGATTTGACCATCGCCCATAAGGCAAATATTATCACCGAATTGTTGCCACTTTGACATTGGCTGCTGAACTGGGGTCATTTCAATTTCATTGTTGTTATTGTTTGCCTTTTCAATTGATTTTGGATTCGCATTTTGGAATAACATCCGGATGGTTTTATCTGCACAATAAAAAAAATCATGTTAAAATCGCGAATCAATCATTCGTCTGCATGCAGTGCAATGAAAGATGATCCAACCAGAATGATCCTCTTGGGTTATCGATATGTTGTGTATTTGTATGTACTTACCATGAATTTCTTTCATTTTCGTTTGATTATTCATGTTAACTGTTTGCTCGTTGATAAACTGTTTCGATTGAACCATATGATCAAATTCGGTTTCCGAACGGGTTCGCTTACGACTCACGCTCAAAGCCATTTCAATAGATTTTTTTTTCAATTGGTTCTCGATTTGTACTTTAGTCAATCTTTTAGTCTATCGTTGAAATGTTGAACCAGTTCTAACGTCAGCTTTGAATCAATCAAAATTTTAGTGGAAAGTTGTGTTTTTACCACCGGCCGAACAGACGCATAGTCAAACTGACAGCAAAAGTGACAGTTCAAAATACATACACAGAAAATGCTGTTAGATACGTGAATTGGAGATTACCCGATTCGAATCATATTCATAAGCTGTTTTTAGACAAAAATACGTTAAGTACACAATATTTTTTTTCAGTATTTTATTCTTTAAAAAAAAAAAATTCGAAAAATTCCCTTCAAAAAAATTTAAAGATTTTTTCCTCTTTTTTTCGTCTTAAAAATAAATTCAACAATGTTTTCAAAAGAAATCGTAAATAAACGCTTCAGTCAACTTCCATTTGATTGGAGTTTCCTTTGGGTTTTCGATTGGGTTTCTTTGGTTTCTGTTGATTTTGATTGTTTGATGGTTCATTTGCATCGGATCGGTTTGCTCTCAATGGTTGATTCCCCTGCGATTCGCGTCGATTTGAGTTGTTTGATCGATTATGGTTCGATTCCACCCAAAATGTTGTCTTATTCTTCGAAAATTGATACCTACGCAGGAAGAAATTGGAAAATTGATTAAATTTGAATAAATTTCGTACGAATTGCAATGGAATTTCGATACAATAATGAAACCCACTTACCCTGGTGATTTTGGATCGATTTCATCGAGCGACATCAAAATATGAACACAGGGAATATTTCGTTTCACCACAATTGGCTCAAGACCATCAAGTAATGGATCCCAGTATTCTTCGTTTCTGGAATTGAAAGAAAAAAGTTCGTCAAAGTTCGTCAAATCAGTATAGAATCTTTTTCTTTCACTCATCTATTCATGTTTTGACCATTTTGATTCCGTTTCCGTTATTTTCTAATTTCTAGTATTGTTTTTAGCACAACATGGGTATCTCTTTGTCGATTCTCAACTTACGTTTTATAGCATAATCTAGTAACTTGGTGTAGTGTGAAATCTCTCTTCAATATTTCGGCGCATGATATCGTTTTCCCAACGCCACCGCCGTACCCGGTCCATACAATTGTACGATGCTCGCCCGACTGCAGTGCTTTCTTAGCAAATTCAATCACATTTGGCACAGCTGTTCCACCTTTCACCTAAAAACCGTGCAACAACCAATCTTTATCAATTTCGTAAGTTAAGCAAGGAAAAAATGTACCAACTCACATGCATCCACAGGAAATCTTCGGGTAAATTTTCGATTTGAATATCGTTTCGAGTCAGCTCTTCCTCGACATTACGCCCTTTTCGATAGTTCATCATTTTTGAAGGCCGACTTCTTATGCTGAACACCTGAAATTGAGTAATTGAATAATTATATGAAATTTTTTTTTTACAGTTTTGTTGATAATAAGTATAGCTTCAGTTGAGTTGACAAAAAGCGAAAAGGCCTTTGATCAGAGATTTGATATCGAAAAAATCAATTATTTTTCGAATAAAAGCCAGAAAATTAAACAAATGGTTCATTAAGAAACCAATTTAAAAAAATGGCACAAATCATGATTACGCTCTTGATAATTGCTCATAAAGTCGACTCACGTTATGACTGTGGAGTGTGTACTTTAACTGTAATAATAAAATTGATCAACGAAGTGTCGAAAGTGCGAAAAATCGGTAACAAACTAGAGAAGAGTGACACAGAAAAACGGCCGAACATGATTGCACATTTCATTTGGAATGTATTTTGAGTGAAGATTGTGTGTTGTTGCCCCATCATCGTTTGATTGAGTGAGAGACATCATTCGACTTGCAGTGCTATTGATTTCAATGGAAGTTTTGGCAATGGCACGTAGGCATTGTGGAATGCTAACTATTTAGCTATATTTTCTGGTTTGATAAGAGAGCGAGAGAGAACAGTCAACAGCACCCACGTCTGATGTGCATGTGACTAGATGGCGCTAACCAGCTTTGGTAGTCACTTTAAGCAAATTTTTATTTTGATTGCAATAGATAATGCGGTTGTTGGTGATAATTTCATTTTATCTATGTGTGTGACTGTCGTTTTTTTTGTGCGAAAGGCACTGGATTCGATTCAGCCAGTCAGTCGATAAAATCGAATGAACGAAGCATTCGAACAAGGAGGCAACAGCAGCAGCAGCAGCAGCAGCAGCAGCAGCAGCAGCAGCAGCAGCAGCAGCATTCAGAATGATATGGAAGGAGTGAGAATTGGAATTCAGGCTACGCATTCCATTTCACATTCTTCGATAGCACTCGGGCTGTTGATGATGATGTTCAGTGTGCATTGTATTCGATTCGAAGGCGAAAATGCTCATTCTCGTTGCCACTTCAATGTCGATTCAATTATAATTTTGCTGCTGATGGTAGTGCTAAACATGTCATGCGTTTTTTTTTCTCCCGCAAATAATACGAAAACGTCGAACATCCATCTCCCTCTCATATATTTTCAATTTCTAAGTTTTTGTTTTTCCCTTGAGCTCTTCGCAGGAATTGGTATATAGTTTAGTGTATGCGCGCGTGTGTTTGTTGACAAACCGCATGCTGTTGTGTAATAATCAACAAACTTCTTGATCAAGACCAACACTTCATTCATAGTTTATCGATAATGCCTTCTTAATTCTTGTTCGGGGCGAAAAAATATTCGCGTTGAATATCCCGGATGAATTTCGTTGCGAGAACATTTTCGGCGTTGAAAATGTTGCACTCAATCCCAATGGTAATCCCGGTTTTGGAGCGAGCGAGAGAGAGAGAGAGAGAGAGAGAGAGAGAGAGGGAGCGTATCCTTAAATGAATTTGATATTCAAATAAACTTCTGTTGAGGATTGAGTGCGAATAATATCAACAATAAACCTTTTTAAGTATTTCAAATGTAAACTGATGCCGTAATAAGCACTAATCTAATACTGCCATCCCCACTCCATTCGCTCATTGTGCGCGACTTCGAAGGAAGAAAAAAAATGACATTAACATATCGTTCCAAAGAAAAAGTGTGCAAGCAAAATTGAAATTTACTTAGAAACAGTGAACATCCTTACCGTCGACCCACTACACATTGTTCAAATAGAAGCGACCGCTGCGGGTTCATTCACAGATGAATATTGGCGAATTGTCTCACGCGCTCGAATTACATTTAACAAAAAAAAATTATATTAAGAATACCACATATACACGTCACATGCCAAAATGTGAGCACATGGAGCCATTGAAAGTCGATCGTCAGCCTATTCGCAAGCGGCTGCTCGATACAATCGATTTAAATAGAAGGAAAAATAAATCAACCAACCGACCAACCAAAAAAAAATGACGCAAAAAGCTCACGTCATAGATGTGAATGAATAATTCTATTTGTTTCATTGAAATTCGACGAATTGTGCAAAAAACTACGGATGAAAATCGATCTTTCCATCATAAATAGAAAAAATTGTTCTGATAAAAACAGGAAAAAGAATGCAAAAAAAAACGATGAGTCAAAGGTATCTTTTTATCGTTATCCCCTCTAATACGAAGGGAATTTGAATTTCCAGCCACCAAAATATTTACCGCACTCCAGTCGATAGACGTGTAAATCGGGGCGAAAATTCATTCACAAAAATATTTGGCTGGAAGTGGAGCGGAAACACAGAGAACCACGAAAAGTGCCGTCGACGTCAAAGACAATTTTCGAATAAGACGGTTAGTGAGTTTCATCAAGGGGGGGGGGGGGGGGTGGCGAAAAAAGGAAATGATTTCGATGCCGTCGATTTCGGTACATACGTCATTACCTCATCTCAAGTGCACAAAGGGTAAAAATGGTGCGAGAACATTTCAATAGCACATATTTTTTTATAGCCAGTCACTCCACATTACCGAATGGAATAATGAAAAGTGCAGACAAATTCGGGAAAGAGACAGAAGAGAGAGCAAACGGGTGAAGGTTTGAAAGAGAGAGAGAGAGAGAGAGAGAGAGAGAGAGAGAGAGAGAGAGAGA